GAGAGCTCTTTCGGTGAGCACTTCCCTTACCGGAGAAGCAGAAGAAAAACAAGAAAGACGTTCTGCTAGAAAGCATCGCCAAGGCGCCTTAGAAACAAGGAAATGTGCCCAGCCTATTTTGTACACATAGTTAATAAAATGGGCATTTGCAAAACCCTATCTCTCTCTCTCTCTCTCTCTCTCTCTCTCAAGAACATTTTTTTTGTTGTGCCGGTGATTTAGCTCAGTGGTTCTGCCACCTGCCTCAGAAGTGCAAGGTCCTGAGTTCGATTTCCGGTACCAAAAAAAATTTTTTTTGTTTTTAGTTCTTTGACACAGGATCTCAGTGTGTAGTCATCCATGCAGCCCAGGCTGGCCTTCAACTTGCAATTCTCCTGTCTCAGCCTGCAGCGTACTGGGATTACAGGCATGTGCCACCATACCTGGCTCACAGTGTCTAAGAGTCCGTCACCAAAAAGCCGTCACCTAGGTTAGGCACAGCCTTCTTTCCTTTTATACGTTAACATTTCTTTTCATTTCAAAATAGTTTTCAGGTCAGATGGTTCTAAAAGGCACACAGAGCCATGAGCATCTGGGGCTGGCTCATCCCTTCAGCTCCCTTCTCACTCTCCAGCCATCTTCTACCCTTTCATTCTCATCTGCTGGACATTCCCTGGATTTTTCTACATAATACGGGTAGACTGCGTTTGTACGTCCAGTTTTAGGCCTCTCTAGTGGACGCCTTGTTTTGATATGAGACCTAGCTCTTTTCTGTCCCCTGCACTATCCCTAACTCAGTGGGGCCAACAGATTCACTGTGCTTAGGGTGAGTCGTGGGCACTGCTCCACCTGGTTAAAGTGGAGGGTGCTGGTGCCGGAGGCTTTCATACTGAATCAGCAAGGGAGGGTCCGGGGTCCTGCGGCTGGGGTGTGGCAGGGGCAGGGACAGTCGCCCCTCTGGGCTGCTGAGGGACCAGGCCTGTGCGTGCTAAAGCTGGTGGCCAGAGTTGTCCCCGGGAGGCCGCAGCTCCCTGTCAGCAGGGCCGGCTGTCAGTCAGCTCTACCCGGCCTCTGGGGAGCAGCCTGCTCCCCGCCCCCGCTTACAGGACATCATCTGCCGGCCAAAATGAGCACTGCAGGAGCCCGGGAGAAGCAAAGAAAGACACAGGGGAAGTTTTCATGGCAGGGAACTTCCCAAATCGAGACGTAGAAATGTACATCCAGATGCAAGTCCCACAGAACCCAGAATGGACGAATCTGAAGAAATCTTCCCCAAGACACATTCTAACCAAACTCTCAGAAGTCAAAGACGAAAGAGAAGCTTTTAAAATAGCAAGAGAAGAGCGATTGTGACCTTCAGGGAAGCCACATTGGACTCTCAGCAGAAAGCCTGAGGCCTGGAAGGAGTAGAAGGTTGAGGTGCTGAAGGGAAAGCTTTCAGATCGAGGCTGTTACACTCAGTGAGGATGCCCTACAGAGATGAAGGACAAATAAAGATTTTCTTAGACAAAAACTGGGGCTCCTTCACCCCTAGACTTAGCTTATAAGCAACAATAAGAGGAGCCCTTCAAGTTAAAATAAAAAGATGATAACAACGCGAGAGCATGGAAGGTGTAGGTCTCTGTAAAAGTAAGAATACTATCAAATTCAAAATGCTCTAATACTGTAAAGCTGGTAGGTAAGCAATTTCACCTAGTGCAGAAGCTAAAAGTATTAAAAGATAGTGAGCTGCAACAATCTTTTAATGGATATACAGTGTATAAAAGACGTAATGGGACATTCATTACAAAATGTGGGTGAGGAAATAGTTAAAAGTGTAGAGTTTTTGTATGCTGTAAAAGTTATATTTTTATTAGCTTAAAATACACAGTTATAAGATGTATATCTCTCCTAAAAAGAATTATCACATCAGAACAGTACTAAGTCCTTATATATCAGTAATTACTTTAACTATAAATGAATTAAATTCTCCAGTGGAAAGATGTCAGTGAGCCATAGTGGCACATGCCTGTAATTTCAACATTCTGGGAGGCTGAGACAGGAGGATCTCAAGTTCAAACCCACCCTGGGCAACTCAGTGACTTAGTGAGAATCTGCCTCAAAATAAAAATAAAAATGGGCAGAGGGTATAGATCTGTGAGAAGATCCTCTGTTCAATCATCAGTACCAGAAAAAAACAAAGACATAAGTGGTTGAATAGATTTTTAAAACAGAACAAGACTAAACTATTTGCTGTCTTCAGGAGACTCACAGACTGAAAGTGAAGACACAGAAAAAAAAACACCTCATGCAGTGGCAACCAAAAGAGAACAGGAGTGGCTATACTTATATCAGAAAAAAACATAGTCTTTAAGTCAGAAACTGTCACAAGACTTCACTTGTCTTTTTAAATTCAACTTCCTTATTCATCTTTCTTTGTTCACTGAAACATTTTATGTCAAAAACTCTTATCATGAGAAAATGAAAAGCAGTGAATTCATGAAGAGGCTGTAACAAGTGTAAATATGTATGTGTCCAACATCAATCAGTGCTCCAAAATATGGAAAGCAAATATTAACAGCAGTTTTTAAGGGCGAAGTATACAGCAGCGTATTAATAGCCAGACTTCCTGAGTTCGATCCCCAGTACTGGGAAAAAAAATAATAATAATAGCTGGACTTTCAACAGTGGCTGGGTCACCCAGACTGATAGCACTAGAGTGACCCAAAGGACGTGGACGGGACCTCACGACTCCTGAGGGACACTCCACCTGCAGCAAGGGTATTTATTCTTTTTTCTCCAGACACGATAGACGTCTGTCAGGCCCCAAAGCACGGCCAGACGCATCTGAGAAGACTGGAATCTTATCAGCGTATCTTTTCTGGCCACAGTACATGGAAATAGAAGTCAGTCACAGGCGGAGATGTGGGGCTTAAACACACACTCCTGAACAACCAGTGGGTCGAAGAAGAAATCAGGGGCTGGGGATTTAGTTCAGTGGTTCCACTGCCTGCCTCGAAAACACAAGGTCCCAAGTTCAATCCCCAGTACCAAAAAAAAACAACAACAAAAAAACACAAAGAAGAAATCAGAAAATACCTGGAGACCCACATACCTGACCGCAGGAAGCAGCCTGGGCGCCACTAGTGTGTAAATGTGCAAGAGCCTCAGGCCGGGAAGGCTGGCACAAGCCTGTCATCCCAGCCCTGGTCCTCCCCAGGGTGCCATGCAAACATAGTCATTTTTATCAGTGGGAAAACGTGAAAAAGCTCGGGAGACTGCCCTGTGTCACAGTGCGTCCTGTCCACCCCTGCCCCTGCCGAGCATGAGAACCTCCTGACCCCAGATGGAGCGAGATCCCTCCCAGCAGCTAAAGGGCCAGGAGATCTCAGAGCAGTGAGGACCCAGTGAGTCGCTGAGTGCAGGAAGGTTACTGAGCCAGCAATGCAGTGTCAGCTGGGTCACCAAAGCCTGGGCTCACCACCGTGGGGGTCAGGAAGGCCAAGGTGGAAACAGCGAAGGACAAAAAGTCCATGGGAACTGGAGAGTGGCCCTGAGACTTTGGGCATGAAGCCTGTCTTTGCCGAAGTGGCTCAGGCCCCCAGTGGCTCCCGAGCTCTTCAGGAGTTGGGTCTCATTGTTTTGTCTGGTTTTGATGGTGCTGGGGATTGAAGCCAGGGCCTTCACACTGAACTAAATCCCCAGTCTTTTAAAAATCTTTTTTTATTTTGAGGTAGGGTCTCCCTAAGTGGGCCTGGCTGGACTTAAACTTGTGCCCCTCCTGCCTCAGCCACCCAGAGTGCTGGGACCGCAGGTGTGTCCTGCCACATCCGCGATGAAGGTTGTTTTCCGGTCGACAAGGTCCTTTCTGCTCTGGAAGGGCCACTTGAAGCAGCTGAAAAGGTGGCTTTCACGAGGGAGCGCTTGCAAGGGAGGGGTCTGTTGCACAATCTTAGGGACAGCGAGCTGAGCGGAGCCCCTGACACTGACAGGGCGGGGAGACGCTGGAGAGGTGCGCCGCCGGAGCCACAGCGGGCTGCTTAGGGCTCGGCCGGATGAATGGGAAGGAGACGGGGAGGCTCAGGGCCGGGGCTTCCGGTGGCTGAGCCGCGCGGCGCTGGGTTCGAGGGCGCTGGGCAAAGCAGGCACCGCCTTCCTTCGGACCGCGCGGGCCCGGGAAGCAGAGGCCTCTCCGGCCCTGCGGAGAGGGAGCCTGGGGCGAGAGCAAGCCGCCCGCTGCACCCGCGCCTTTCCAGCCGCCTCGTCCTCTGCCCGGGAAGTTCGTCGCTTCACTCGGCTCCTCCGGGAGTGCCGGGCTGGGCGGGCGCGGGCTCGGTCGAGGAGATAACGGGGCGGGGCGCGGGCGCGTGGCGGGAGAGCGGCGCCCCCGGCCGAGCGCGAAGGGCGGCGGGGCCTGGGCTCCAGGAAGTGGCGAGCAGGAAGCGCCCGCGGCCCGGGCCGGCGCAGGTGAGCCGGGGTCGCGCCCGCCGCACCTGCCGCCTCCCGCCGGGGCAGTGTGGGTGTCGCAGCCCGGGCGTGGAGGGCGGCCCCGGGCGAGGACCTGCACGCCTGGCCCGGGCGCCGCAACCGCGACCCAGGCTTGGGGCGGGTGGGGGGCGGCAGAGGCGCCGCCGGAGGGGCCCTCGCGGGTGTCCGCGCGCCGGGACGGGGGCGGGTCCTCTGACACCGCCAACCGCGCCGGCCGCGGGAGGAGCCGCTCGGAAGCCCTGGGGACCTGGGAGCCCAACACCCGGGCCTTCGGCTCATTCGGCTCATTCGCGAGCAGCTGGTCCCTGGAGCCGGGCCCCTGGCCAACGCGGTGACAGCGACCTCGGGTTATCAGGAAGGGTGGACAGTATCCCTCCTGCCCTCCCTGCCCTCAGCCCAGGCTCTGATTCTGGTGATCTGGCCGTTGGGTCTTTGGATTTGCATTTCGAGCCAAGATCGCTGGAAACTGCCTCCTGCCAGGTTTGAATTTCTAACAGGAATTGCAGAGCCTGCCTCTTCCTGGTGCGGGAGCTCACCGCCTGGAAGGTGCTGTCTGCTTGTCCCCTAATTTACCGAACTTACGAAACTTACGAGTGAGCTTGTGCCTTAGGGTCCCCTCGTTTCTTTATTCCCTGTGAGCCAGATGGAAAACCCAGGGACTGCAGTTCCACCCGCGGACGCGGACTCACACGGTGCTGCTCTGTGCTGACTCCCCGCGTGTGGTTTGTTCGTGTCAGGCAGTGGTGAAATTAGAACTCAGGCCCCTTTTTGTACCCTTCCTCTTTACGGGGGAATAGCACCTTTAAAGGCTTAGAAAGTGCTTACTCTAAAGAGCAAGCTGTATTCTTTCTCTCGATTTAAGAAAAGAAAATGCTTGAAACTTTTTTTCTAACTCATCTCTGTGTCTAAAATGGGGCCCAGTTTTTAAACGTTGCCCTTGAGTGGCTTTTTCAGCGTCTCTGTGGGCCGTTTTGGTCCGAAGAAAGGTGCTCGGCATTGCTCTGCTGTTGCTCTTTTCAGCCAATCCTTGGGGCACAGAGCCCAGCTGGGTGGTCAGAGCGGCCCGGAGTATGGGTTTCCCTCCGATCTTCATCTTACCCAAGCCTCTCCTGGGCTGTCTCGAACACGGGGCTGACCCGACTCTGTCCCCTGTGGAGGTGGCCAGGCCGCAGGAGCTGAAAGAGCAACTGTAAAAAGTCTTCCTGTGCTCGAGCAGCGAGCCTGTGGGCCTTTGCTGGGGACTTCGTGGAGGGGAGAGGTGCGGGGCGCAAACACAACTGGTGTGTGCTGGAGTGCCCGCCCGCGGCATCCGGGCTCCTGGTCTTTCTCCTGGGGGTGAGCACCAGGCTTCTGTCCTTGAGGGTGTCAGTGGGTCGCCCTTCAGGCCTGGGGTGTGGGCAGCCCCTGAGGACTTGGGGTACAGGGGGAGCGACCAAGCCTGAAAGAAGCCGGGTTGGGGTGAGCTCCCACCCACACGTACTGCCAGGATCTGTGCATCTAACTGTGCCCACAGTTGGTGTGTAGTTTGCAGCGAAAGGAACCGATTGTTTTCATTTAAAATAATCAAAACCTTTTATTCCTGCTGTTTCTGGGCCTTCTGGGTCCATTTTTGAAGGTTTTGTAGCGCTGAAGTGAGGCTTGCGGGTGGTGATTTAGTTGATGGTGGTAGATCGGGTAGTAGATGCTTCCAGAGATTTGAATGTCGAGAGTGTTAGGCAGAGGAGCAACATGAGGGACCATGCAGGCGTGGTACAAATGAACTTGGTCCTTGGCCCCAGACCTTGTTTCTCCAAGCAAGCCCTGCTAGTCTGCCTCGAGTATGGACTACACCCAGCCCCAGCCTCCGGCTTCCTGGGGATTATCGTTTTGTTTTCATAACAGTGTAGGTGCCACGGGGCCATGTGTCACGTTTTTAGCTGGGGAAGGTGAGGGAACCTGAAGTTGTGAAGCTGGCCTACGTTTCTCCAGCCCTAGGTCAGCCGTGGAATGAATCCCACTTGTTAAGCTCCCCTTTGGACCCTGGGCTGGGAAAGGCTTAGCTCTGGAGCTTCCGGGCCTCCACCTGGGTCTGGGCTGAGGGTGGGGCCTCTGGAGGGAAAAGCCCAACACAGAGCTTGCATTGTCTTGCAAATGTAGTGGGAAGAAGCTGGGTGTGGCGGCACACACCTGTAATCCCAGCACTCTGGGAGGCTGAGCCGGGGGATTGCAAACTCAAGCCCAGCCCTAGGCAATTTAAGGATTTACAGTGACCTTGACACACACACACACACACACACACACACACACACACACACACACACACACACACACACACACACACACACACACACACTCAAAGTAAATTAAAAAGAGGCTGAGGATGTAGCTTAGTGCAGAGACCCTGGGTTGGCCCTGAGGTTGAAGGGAGGACACACAGGTAGGAGTGTGCTTTGTGTCTGTTGCCAGGATCTAACCCCCAGGGCTTCCTGCCTGCTAGGCAAGCTCCCTGCCACTGAGCACCCCTGAGAGCTCTCTGGAGGAGGCCAGAGTGGGTGTGAGTAATGTTCTATTTCAGAAGACACCCTGACTTAGAAATATGAGCCACCAGGGGGGCTTTGGGACTGGACACCCGGGTGGCCCGGCCCTTTTTCAGCTCCTAGGCATCCCTCTGCTCCTTCCTGTACTGCTCAGTCTTCAGCCTAGACTTCACAGCAGGGCCTCCGAGGCCCCCCCCAGGTGTGTCACAGTTGCAAAGCCACTGTTCAGCACAGACTTGAGCTCCCACTTGTCCAGGTCCATGTGCCTCTCTGTCCCTGTGGCTCCAAGTGGCCCAGGCCCAGGGGCCAGGCCTGCTGGGATAGTTGGGCCCTGTGAATGCTGGGTGTCCTGTGGCTGGTTGCTGCTTGTTGGATGAGATGGTGACCCCCATTAGCACATCTTGCAGTACCACGCTCCTTGATCGCTGAGCACAGCAAGGAACAGCGCTTCCTGGGCCCAGCAGCGCCTGTGGCCTGCCCGCTCCCGGTCCTGGCACATCGCAAGGCCAGTGGGACCCGAGCCTCTCACTCCTGCCCTTCTCCCCACAGAGCCAGCACGGCCCTGCTCCGAAGAGGAGGCCGAGCCCCAGCAGGACCCTTCCCTTGGTGTCCCTGGCCTGAGCCAGTGCCGTGCTCTGAAGCCCACCTATGAGGCAGCTCGCTCAGTGACTGCAGGGCCGGGGCAGCAGCAACCTCCATGGCTCCACTCCCTGCCGGCATCCGCTTCATCGTCTCCTTCTCCAGGGATCAGTGGTGAGTCCGGGCACCCGTCCTCTGCGAGGGCTGTGTGGTAAGGGTCACCAGGGTGGCTTTGGTTCTGCAGTTTCACTGTAAAACATAGGTGACCCCCGACCCCCACCGTGACCCAGGCTATGGCCAAGGCGCCCTGGTCGTGGGTGTGGGCATCGGCAGGCAGCGTTCAGACTTCTTTGCTGTCCTCGATGGTTTCTGTAATAATCGTGGTCCCTACAGAAAAATGACCACTGACTGCTAGAAGGATTATGAAACAGCTGGGTGGAATCAGCCAGTGACCCTGCGCACACCCTGAGTGGCCTGGCTGAGGCCACACTCTCACGGTTCAGTGCAGACCAGAACACTGCTTTCTGGCCTGAAGTCTGGGCAATCCTCCTCCTGCCTCAGCCTCCTGAGTGCTGGGAGTACAGGCGTGCACCATGACGTTCTCTCCTTGTCTGCTCTGAAACGCCTCACAGGTAGATCCAGCCACTGCACCCCCTCAGAGACAGAGGGCAGGGCAGAGTCTGCCGCTCTCTGTGGGGAAGGAGAAACTTCTACCCTTTTATGTTGAGTGCTGGGGCCTTGTGAATTAAACTGATGAAAGACAGATGCACAGATGACGGGCTCATCACGTGTGGGCATATGTGTATGTGAGGATGTACCAGGGCTGACCAGAAACACAGTAGAGTTTAAAAGTTTGTTACAGCTGGCCATGTGTCCTGCTCACAGTTCTCCTTCTCCCTTCCAAATTCCATCCCATGGTCCTTGCTGCTTTCTGCAGCAGCTCTGGAGTCCTCTTTCCTGAGTGTCTTCATGAGGTGTGATCAAAAATACAGTGACCTGGGCCGGGGATTTAGCTCAGTGGTTCTACCACCTGCCTCGAAAGCCCAAGGTCCTGAGTTCAATTCCCAATACCCGAAAAAAAAATACAGTGACCACTCCTGCTGAGCACCATCCAGCAGAAAGGCAGCTAATAGAAACATGATGCTGTGTCCTCATCTACTTTATTCACAGGATCTGGCACCGTGTGACTTCCGGCTCTTCCCCAAAGTCAAAATGACCATGACAGGGAAATGTTTTGAATCCATTCAGGACATCTAGGCAGCCAGAACAGCGCAGCTAAAGACTCCCAGGAAAGAGGGCTCCAGAGCCGCTGCAGGAAGTGGCCAGGACGGTGGGAGGAGTATGTTCAGAGTGAGGGGGAGGGTTCTGAGGGAGATTGATGGCAGTGTGTCTTTTACTGTAATAATTTTTTAAAAATGTAAACAATCACCAAGTTGTTTGATCACACCTGGTAAGTATGTACACACACATGTTGTTTTCTAAGCCTGTTGGGAGTGAGGAAGACAGACACACCCTTTTGTTTCTGAGTGTTTCTCTGTATTTCCTGTGAATGAGACATTCTCTGCAGCACTTGCCTAGCCTGTGTGAGGCCTTAGCTTCCATCCTCAGCACCAAAAACAAACAAACGAAGAAAGTATAACCATGGCATAAATATCATAATCAGGAAATTGAACAGCTATAATGGGCTGTTATCTAATCCAAAGGCCATATCTGTCAAATATCCAATAACAACTTCGATAGTGACTTTCCCCATGTCGGGATCCCATCCAGGTCTGTCCTGTGGGTTTCATCTTCTTTAACCTGGAACCACTCCTTGGCCTTTTCTGTCTCTTGTTTTGTTGTCTTGAGACAGGGTCTGGCTGTGTAGTTCAGGCTGGCCTTGAACTCACTATGTAGCCCAGGCTGGCTTCGAACTCAAATTTGGGGCATCCTTCCGCTTCAGCCTCTCTCACCTAGCTCTTGTGACCTTGACATTTTTTAACGGTTCTAGCCATTAATTTCATAGGGTGTCCCTCAGTTGGGATATGTCTGGTGTTTCCTTTGGATTGGATTCAGACTGCATTTTTGTCAGGAATCCCAGCAGAGAGGCAGCTTTCTCACTGATGGAGAGTAGCAGCAAATGCGGGAGTTGGGAGGTGCCGGTGTGGGTCTGGTGGTGTGGACCAGCACTGCAGGCCTCAGGGCGAGCCTGTGGAAGTAGGTAGAGAAGCAGATGCATACGGGGTAGGAGTACAGCCTGCTGAGAGGTCCTGGAGCAGCCGCCCCAGCCCGTGGAGCACATCCGGCCTCCCAGGTATGGGCTGGCAAGGGCCTGGGTCCTTGGAGATGCAGCCTTTGGCATCGCTGGCGGGGAAACACAAGTGAACCTGGAACATCTTGTGATGCCAGAACACAAGCAAGTGCTTCAAAACAAAGGGACTCTTGCTGGCCAAGTCTGGAACAGTGTGAGAGTTGATATCAGGCATCGATGCTGGGCCATGAAACAGGAAAAGGATCCAGTTTGTCCTCCCTGATCAGTACCTGTGTGGAAAGGCTTGGGGGGGGGGGTCCCTCCCGAAGGGGCGCTGTGGGGGAATCAGCCAGCCCCGAGGGCGGTGCCAGCCCACATAGCGAACGTAGCAGGTGTGCTCCTCGGAGACAGGGAGGGACAGCATTCCTCGTGACCTCAGACAGGCCCCACGCATCCCCTCCTCGGTTCCTCAGGCAGAAAGCTCAGTCCCACTGGGCAGATGACACCCGGCCGGTGTCTGGCAAGAAGTCTCACTGCATCTCTGTCTGGTTTCACAGATGCTAACTCCAGGCCAGCCCTGGTGTTTCCAGCCAGACCGGGTGCCTGGGATGAGACCACTGGCTCTGCCGAGCAGGCCGCTGCTGCTTGCCTGGGGCCTGAGTGGTCAGGGACACCTTGGCAGGGGGGGGGGGGGGGTGCCAGGCTGGCTTCTCACTGTTGGGCACAATGCTTTGGGGGAGCTTGGGGTGAAATGCCTCAGCGGGCAACACTGCCAGGTGCGGAGCCCCGCTGGGTCAAAGGTGAGACCACTTGCTCTTCCTTGGACCTGCTTCCTACTCGGGAGTCTGAGTGTAACGTGAAACAAAAGGCAGCCCCCCCCCCATTTCCTGCAGACCCTGCATCTTAACAACAGACAGTACTCCCTACAAGCTGGAGCCCAGAAGTCCAGGCTCAGTGTCCTCAGGGCCACACCCCTGCGGAGGCTCCTGGAGGGTCCTGCATCCCCCAGCCCCTGTGGCCACCATTCCCGGTGCAGCTGTCCCGCTGGCCCCGCCGCCGTCCCACCCGGCTGCCTCTCCATGGCTGTGCCCTCTCCTGCTCCCCTGAGGACACCATTGTTGGATTCAGGGCCCAGCCGAGTCCAGTGGCCTCACTTTAGCCAGTGACTCTTCACAGACCCGCTTCCCGAGTCAGGTTGAACTCTGGATTGCAGGCACACAGGAAACTCCGGAGGACCCTATTCAGCCCCATGCAGGATCGATAAAAAGAAGCAAGTAGCATCTGAAACTCTTGCTTCAGAAACAATAAAGGCAAGGAAGATAGGATTGCAGAGTGGCAAAGGCCCTCGGGAGGGTGGTTTCACTTGCTTCCCTGGGATAATCCCAGGGGAGGAAATCCGGAAGGAGGAAGCCGCTTGCTCAGGCACCCCCTGGTTGGGATGGCTGGTGGGCAGGGGAGCAGCTGCCAGCTCAGGCAGGGACCACACCTCCGGCCCCTGGCCCCTCCCGCCCCCACAAACCTCGTGAGAAAGAGGAGGTGAACTGGGAGGAAGGACGGATTTGGAAATGGAGAAAGTGGAGCCTAGGGATAGCAGCTAGGTGAAGACAGGTTCCACCCCAGCACCTGGAACGGCAGGGGTCCGGGTGCTCACCCTGCCTCTGGGCAGCTCTAGAGCACCCTGCGGCCGGCTGGCTCCTCCCTTCCCAAGGGCCCCTTCGCCCAGGGCCTGTCTGCATGGAGAGGGAAATGCAGGAGTTTGCAGGCAGTGCCCACCCTGTGTGTGCTCCAGGTGGTGGGCATCCCCTGAGGGGTCTCCCTCTGCCAGAGGACCAGGGCCCAGAGGGATGCCGGGCCCCACGGGAACAGGCCTTCTCCCCAGAACCCTGATGACCCTGGGTGCAGGGGATGTTGCACACTCAGCCCAAGGCCCCTGAGCACAGCCGCCAAGAGTGGGGTCCGATGCCCCCATGGACGGCACCCCCGGGCGGTGGGGCAGGCCCCCTCAGGTCTGCCAGGCGGTCGGTGCACGGCTTGGAGAGGGAGAGCCTGAGAGATGGGGAGCAGGGCCTGCTGCGAGTTTAGCGAGCGCCTGGTGAACTCCGAACACAGGGCCTGGGCCTTTGGTGTTCCCCAGTCCCCGAGCTCCAGTTTTCCCTCCAGGAAGGACGATCTTTATTACTTTAAATCTGGAGATGGGTGTTTGACCGCCAAGTGTGCTGGTGGCCAGGGAGGTGGCGCCCCAGGACTCTCGGACCGTCTGTGTGTTAGTCATAGACAGCGTCCCTCGATCAAGTGCCACAGCTGAAATGGAAGTGACCGGCATCCCTGTGGGCCTGGGAAGTCGCCCCAGCGTGCAGATCTCTGCTCTGACCTGGCTGGAGGCAGGGTGCTTCTCCTCACGGGGTCAGTGGCATGGCCACCTGCCCACCTTCATCCGTGCTTCCGCCCAGGTATGCAGAGACAGCCAGGTGTAAACAGGGCCCAAAACGCTGGGCTAATGTCCTGTCAACTGGTCATCCTCCCTTGTCTGCCATGTGAACAGCTGTCTGCAGCTTCGGAGTCCCAAACTTCTCTTTGGTTGTAGTTTTTAATAAACAGCTATCGTATCTGGTCTCTGCCCGGTTCCTGGCACACACCTTCCGAAACCCCTGGAGTCCCCCAGCCTTGCATCCTTTGCATGCTCATGAGATGACGGAGCTGGGGCTCCTGGATCCCTTAGGATGGGGTGGGTTCCGGGGAACACCCGCAATTAGAAGGTTGGACCTTCCTGTCCCAGCCCCAAACCCAGCCAAACAGGCTGGGAGGCTTCTGGGGGTGGGGGGCTGGGCAGGCACTTGGAGGCACCTGGGGTGCGGTGGGTGCAGTGGCCAGCGCCTGTTCCATGTGCATTGTAACTAGTGGATCCACTTCATTAAGTTTCCCTGGGCCCTGTGAGCCGCTCCCGCAGATCAGCTGAGCTCAGGGAAGACTGGGGGAGCCCCAGTTGTAGCCAGTCGATCAGAAGCATAAGTCACAACCACAGCCTGGGTCCTGCTTTTGGGCCCTGAAGTGGGGGCCATCCTGGGGCTGAGCCCTCAGCCTGTGGGATCCGCCGCTGCCTTCAGGGTTGAGCTGAATTATAGGACACCCCACCGCCATCCCTGGAGAATCGCCCAGTGTGGGGGGAGCGCGCGCATCTGCGGTAGAAGGCTTGTGTGCTGAGCGTGGGTATAGGAAAAAGTTGGTTTCTCCTCTTTGAGTTTCAACTTGGAGGCCCGGAAGGGTCGAATTTGTTCCTGTCCTGACATTGCACGATTCCATTAGAAGGAGTTTGTGAGCTGGTGTGAGGCCGTTGAAGCGTGGCCGCCCTGACACCAGCCGGTGCTCGTTTGTGTTTCAGGTACAGAGCCTTCATCTTCGCGCTGACCTATTTGCTGTATGCCAGCTTTCACTTATCTCGGAAGCCCATCAGCATAGTTAAGGTGAGAAATCAAACACACTCACTGTTCATCCTGCCCGTAACCCTGAGGAGAGAGTTTCCCTGAGACGCTGTAGGGAAGGCGGGTGGAAAGGTAAATGCAGAAAAAACGTTGTTAGGAATGAGCTGCTTTGCTGCTTCGGTTTCTCTTCAGACATGAGGAGTGTTAGAATTATAAAAGGTGTTATGATTTCAGAGGTTAACAGTTCCAGAATTCTCAAGCTTGCTAAAGTACTCATGATGTCTGGCGTGAATTTTCCCTCCAAGGATCCCCAGTCTTACGTGGGTCCCCACACCGCTCCGACTCTGACCTGAGCCTGCTGTGGGGGTGGCGCTCTGTGACCTGCAGAGCTTCAAGATGAGGGCCAGGAAGCTGCCGGACAGGTGTTTGGCCAGACGTGGACAGAGGAAGGCTGCCAGGGACAGTCCTCTAGCAGCCCGTCACAGCCAGGAAAGTCCTCTTAGCCTGTGGGCTTGGACAGCCTTTGACTCTACCATAGAAGGAACAAGGAAATCGTCCTGGCCCTGCTCGGCCCATTTACTGCTTGATTGCCCCCGGCTTACTTTCCAGCGGTTGGCGGGGAGCAGTTAGAATGGTGCCCTTGGTGGCGGAGCTTACTCCACACCAGGCTGTGGCTGACCATGGACAGCTGCCCTGCGGGCTCCCGGCCCCTCAGTCTACATCCTGCTCCCAGCAGCTGCAGTGGGTACAGAACCTGCACTGCTCAAAGATTCTGCAGTTCCTCCTTGACTCGCACTGCTGTGGGAATGTCTGCAGACCTTTAAGAGTGTGGTTTTCAAGAGAGATTGGGTAGGAAAAGAGGTGGCAGCCCGGCCCGGGGACTCTGCCATCGGCACCGTAACCAGCCCTGGAAATGAAAGGCACTGGTTGCTCCCCGGATGACAGAGTATAAAAACAGAAGTGGCCTTCACAGAGGCCATAGTGGGTGCCTTGTGGGCCTGGAAAGGTGGGGTATTGGGTTGCGGGGCAGGGCTTGCCTGGATCCCTGTGAGACCCAGTCATCGCTGCACAGCCGCCTGCCTGATGCCTGGGGCCCCCGGGTCAGATGTGGCGTGGAGGACGGGGCTGGCCCTGGAGGTCTCTGGGCCTTGATTCCATCTGATGACTCCCTTCGTAGTGACAGTACTGCTGCCCAGGGTCTGTATCTAATATACTCCCAAGGCAGCCCCAGGAGTGGGCTTGGGACTGGCAGGCTCAAGAGGCACCCTACAGGCCGGGCTCGCCCGGGTGGATTCTCCACGGTTCTTGCCCTTGCCCACTCTGCCCCAGGTCTCCAGGAGGTCCAGTCCCCTGACCGCCAGGTTTTCTCTGACACCCAGAGTTTCTGACCTGGCACTGGGTGTGGATTAGCTGTATGCTGAATCCTGTGGTCTTCCTTGCTTTATAAGACAGCTAAAAATAGCACACTGCATATGATAACTTAGACTTTATAATGCCTTATAATGCTTTCCCAAACTTTTGCTCATGCTACAAATGATAGAAATGGAACTGGAATCTAATGATTCATTTGGTCCAATGAGCAGTTTGGATGTTTATCTACAGGTTAGATTTTCTGGACTACTGTAAAATACAAAATACCTACTTAAAATCAATCACCAGGGGTTGAGAATCCTAAAATGATTCATGTTCTGTAATTCATTTATAGAATAACCCAGCCTATCAGATTTAATCACTGCTGGTTAATTTTATTTTTCTCTTATTTAAAGCAGTGACAACATAAACAGGATCAGCAGGAGGATGGTGTTGGGTGTGTGACCCTTTCCCATCTTCGCTGCCCGTGCAAAACCTCACCAGGGATTCTTTTTTGTTTGTTTGGTTTTGGTTTTGGGGGGTTTTTTGGTACCGGGGATTGAACTCAGTACCTTGCACTTGTGAGGCTGTTGTTTGTTTTTGAGACAGGGTCTTGCTCTGTAGTTTAGGCTGACCTTGAACTCACTATGCAGCCCAGGCTGGCCTTGAACTTGCTGCAACCCTTCTGCCTCAGCCTCCCAAGTGCTGGGATTACAGGCCTGCACCACCATGTCTGCCCGCCACTGATTCTTTTTAATTGAATAAAATATGGAAGTTTATGTGAAAGAGTGTACAGGAATTAATCACCAAGACAAATATGGAAAAGGATATTTTATGAAATGAAAAAGATTAATACATTCTTAAATACCATAATCAAAGTATAATAATCCATGGGAATAGACGAAATGGTCAGTAAAATGGAACAGAAAATACAAAGTGTTTGACAGATCACAGGAAGTATGGTTTATGTATGTATTTATTTTTGGTGCTGGGGATTGAACCCAGAGCCGTGCATATGCTAAGCACATGCTCCACCTCTGAGCTACAGCAAAAATTGGATGTTCATCTATAAGACAGAAAGCTTAATTCCCTATCTTGTAAAAATCAGTGGATGGATTAAGATTTAAATTTTTTTTTTTTTTGGTACTAGGGATTGAACTCGGGTCCTTGCACTTGTGCAGCGGGTGGCGAAACCACTGAGCTAAATCCCCAGCCCTAGATTTAAATGTATTTTGAGACAGGGTCTCACAGAATTGCCCTGGCTGGCCTCAAACTTGCGGTCTTCCTGCCTCAGCCTCCCAGAGTGTTGGGATTAGACTTATTCATAGTAAAAAGCACACAAGTCTTAAGCACCTGGCCTGACAAACCCTGGCCTGGGCATCTGGGCACCCATCACCAAGGCGAAGGTGTGGGTCCCTTCCAGCTCCCAGAAGGGCCCCCCTCCCCAGGAAACCAGGGGTCTCACCCCTGGCACCGTGGATTCGCTCGTCTGCCTCGGAACTGTGTACGGATGGAGCTGTGCCGTTTCTGTCCTTCATGTCCGGCTTCCTTTACTACATGTTAAGTTTCCTGGGCCCTCCTCCCCGCCATGTGCCCTGGGCCTACCACTGCTTTCCACTGTCACACAGCACTCCCTTGACAGAGTGGACCTGGTCCGGCGTAGGCAGGTGACCCAGGGACAGGCTCTCGGCTGGGAGCTGTGACAGCACGCTTGTACCAAGCGTCCTTCGCTGGCCACGGGAGGCTCTTGTCAGCTGTGTGTCCCCAGGACTGGCATGCGGGGCCCGATGTCACCTTCGAGGGGCCGCTGCCTGCCCCAGGCTGGCCTCTGACACTCTTCTGCCCTGTCCCCGTGCGCCCCAGGGTGAGCTCCACAAGCACTGCACCTCAGGGGATGGGGCCGGGCCCAGACCCAGCCACCAGAGTGACAGCGCCGGGCTCGCTGCCCCTCACCAGCTCCGGGACAACGGGAGCGCCTGCGGCTGGGCCCCGTTCGGTGAGTTGGCCATGGCCCCTTGGTCCAGGCGCCCTCGAGGCACAGAAGGCTCTGGGCCTTCTGACTCCGTCCCACACGTGAAGTCAGCTCTGTCCTGCCCCAAGTCTGCAGTGCTGTGCCCGGGGTCCCTGCCTGGCCCTGAGTCGGCTGCTCTGGTACTTGGGGGGCCTGCGGAAGACCGCCTGCATTGCGCATTTCTCAGACTTGGGAGTGAAGTAGGGGCTGCAAGGCAGAGCTCTGGACCAAGCCAGGGAAATGCTCAGACACACCCGCCCACCCGCCCGCCCTGAACACTGGGAATTGCTTGAAATCAACTGTCGACTCTCTTCCCTTTTGCAAAACATGTATTGCGTAGCCCTGCTGCAGAACGAAACAATACTGAGCTTTTCCTGTCCATTTTCAAACCCATGTAGATAAGGACAACTATCAGCAGCTGCTCGGGGCGCTGGACTACGCCTTCCTGTGTGCCTATGCCGTGGGGATGTACCTGAGGTAGGTGGCTGGGCCGGGCGGAAACTGTGTTTCTCTCCTCAGCTGGGCCGAGGTGCAGGGTGGCGAGCTGCACCATGTCCACAGGCAGGGCTCGGAGGGGGTTCAGGGTCCCCAGCGTGCTGATGGGACACAGACCCAAACACCTACCTCCTGCCATCTGACGGCAGGGACAGTGGACCAGTGTGTCGGATTCATCCCCAGCTGCCTGTGTGGCCCCGACAGCTCCAAGTCCAGTGCTGGCGGCCCTGTGCCACTCCAGGCAGACAGCTCGGTTTACACCCCGCTCTGCTGCTTGCCAGGCTTGGCAAGTGACCATGGGCAAGTGACCTCTCTGGGCCCACGTTTCCCTCGTTCCCCTTTGTGAAGTGGGGGCTGTGTGACTGTCATGGCAAGGACGAAGTGAGTTCATCCCCACAGGAGCCTGGCTGGCCCGTTCACAGCGCTGGCTGGCTGCACTGGCACGTGGGGTCAGAGGACACGTTGGCTGGTGAGGCACTGGGGCTGTCAGTGCAGCGTGGGTGTAAGGAAGCTCCCAGGGGCAGGGGGTTTAGTCCAGAGGCTTCTGTCAGTGACAGAGATCTTCAGAGTGCTGAGGTGCCATGGGACCCTGTAAATGCTCCAGGCCCTCCCGGGATGTAGGACGACAACCTGGCCCTCCCAGCTCAGTGGCTGCTGGAGCTCGTGGCCCCTTTGTTTTTCAGGGTGCCCTGGCATAAGCCCATCTTGCGGCAGCACGTTGTGGCCTTTTCTGGGCCGGGTTTGAGTCGGCCTGCAAGCCCTGCACCCTGAGGTGGCATTTTTCTATGCCAGAGACCTCAGTCTTTCTGCATAGATAATCAGTGTACAAAGGCCCGAAGTGGGAATGTGCTTTTCTCAGTTTAAATCTGAACCTCAGCTGGGGGAGTTTGTCCTCTAGGGGACCTTAGGAATGCAGGGGACAGCTGGGGCAGGGGGTGCCGCTGGCATCTGGTGGGCAGCGACTAGGGTTGCTGCTAACTGTGCTGTGCCACCCAGGGGCGTCTCTCTCCAAAGAAGTGTCCAGGCCAAGATGTCGGTAGCGCATTTAGAAACCCGGGCCAGGGTAAATGCAGTGGCTTCGTTGTTGTCAGTGTGCATTAGCAAAGGCAATTGTGCAGGAGGTCATCGGTGAAGTCCCAGGTGTGAAGCCTGCAGTGCACAGACCACACCTGCCCAGCTGAGGCCTCTGGGTGACCCCTGGTGTGGCGGCTGCAGAGCTCACTTGGGTGGCTGCTGCGGGAGGGGAGGGCTCCACACAGTGCTGATTCCTCGTGTCTCGTGAAGTCCTGGGCCGTGGGCACAGCCTGCGTCATGCTGGCTGGGCCCGGCAGGTGTGGCTCTGATTGGGTCCCTGCATTAGTCTGAGGTAATGTGGCATGGTGTCCATTCCGTTAGACTTGTACTTTGTTTCTTGTGTCTTACTTTTTTTTTTGAGACAGGGTCTCTCTGTGTAGCCCAGGCTGGCCTGCAACCCATGGGAATCCTCGTGCCTCAGCCTACTGAGTGCTGAGGTTACCGCACCCAGCCAGATCTGTGCTTTGAAACCTTCAGGTAGAGGTCAGACAGGGTCCCAGGCCTGGGTGGCAAGATGAGAGCCCCTTCCTAAGCCCGGCCCAGGACACCAGCTCTCAGGCACCCACCTGACCTGCCCTGTGGGCTATGGCTTGGGCAGGTGAGCCAACCCCTCTGAGCCTTGTTCCTAACCTCAGAAGCCAGCAGCTGGAGCAGAGAACTCAGCTCTAGAGGCCCTGGAGTCTGGGTGGCTGGGTTCTGCTCTGCTGAACATTTGGCCTGAATGTGCTTTTTAATTTTCAGTCGCTTCCTTCTGTGCTTGGTCTGTGGTAGACATTCTGACTTGGCAAACTGAGAAGGAAAAGCTGCCCCATGCGTTGGTTCTTGTGATAAAAGATAGCAACATTAGCCAGACGTGGTGGCGCACACCCCTGGCACTCGGGAGGCTGAGGCAGGAAGAACGGCTCAAGTTCAAGGCCAACCTGGGCCACATAGAGAGCTCAAGGCCAGCCTGAACTGCATAGGGAGACCCTGTCTCAAAAAACAAAACAAAACTGACAAAAAAAAAGTCAGCAACACTGGGGCCAACTCAACCCAGCGTGCTGCCAGCAGCAGGGTACAGTGCCTGCCCTGTGCTCCTACCCCAGACTCCGAGAAATGGCACGCATGAGTTCAATGTCATCTGTGTTTTCCTGCCGCGTTTTCTTCACTCACATCACACTGTGGCCGTTGGTGACCTTCCCCACAGGGCAGAACTGAGTGTCTTGTGTGGTCATTCGTGCGGGTGATGGTGGCCATGGCCCCTTCAGAATCTGGCCTGTAATGAAACCGGGTCCTAGTCACAGTGGCTGCCACCATCCTGGCTGCCGGATAGCACCCTCCCCGAGACGGGCTGAAGCCTGTCTGCAGCCCAGCCAGCTCTGGAAGGTGAGAACCAGGCTCTCAGTGTGTAATGGGGCAGCCAAGACTGCACCCCAGGTCTTCTGACCTCACCTGAGGGCACGCGGACCGAAGTGGCCGGGTGAGGTGTAGGCAGAGCAGGGGTCATTTCCCGCTGGCCACCAGCCTGGCACATCCATGCAGGTGCCTTAGGTTCGGCTCAGGGCCCGGTGACCCCTTTTGTGACTTGCGTCTGCAGTGTGTCTGTTGAAATATAAACTATGTACATTGGCTGGGTAGAGTTTAAAATGAACAGGACCAGCTTTGTTTTCTTCAACCGGCAGCAGTCACATTCAGGTCACAGTGCGAGTGTTTTATTACATGGCAGTTAATGACTTTGTCTGGAAACAGGAAGCCTTCGGGTATTGCTGTGCCATTCCGGGTAAGGGCCCCTGCAGGGCACAGCTGTGCCTGGTCCTCCCGGGAACTGGCACCCCGAGTTCTGGGAGCTCAGGGGACAGTGCAGGCATCCGAGGCGCGGCGGCGGCTGGCCTTTTACCTTCAGGGTGTGTTTCTCTCTCATGTTTGTCTTTCCTCCTGTCCCCAGCGGCATATTAGGGGAACGCCTGCCCATCAGGTACTACCTGACTTTCGGGATGCTTGCCAGTGGAGCCTTCACCGCCCTCTTCGGGCTGGGCTATTTCTACGATATCCACAGTTTGGGATTCTACGTGGTCACTCAGGTAGGGGACCCATGGCTGCTCAAGGGTCAGGTCAGGTCCTGGCTCGCCACACGTGGGCTTCTGTCACAGAGCCCCGCTGCTGCCTCAGCAGGTGTGGGAGGCGGGCAGACGAGGGCCGGGCCGGCTGGCACTGACAGTGCCTGCCTTCTGCTGCAAAACGCTACCAGCCAGGAGGGTGTCCGGTTTGAGGACAGCCTCTAAGAAATCCTGTTTGTCATTGGGTGGCAGCAGTCGGGAGGAAGGGAGAGATCCTGGAGGTACAAGAAGAGGAGGCCTGAAGACAGCCGAAAGCCCTGGCCCGGCCCTCCTCTCTTGACCTCTGGCCTCCAGCAGTCTGTGGATGGGATGGATACTGACCAGCATGAAGATAACAGTGCCCAGCTGGCTCTGCGGTCCAGACAGCCCATGACAGTGTCATGAGATCATCAGAGCAGAGTGATTTCATTTTGCTTCTCAGATTTCGCCCTGACCCTTGAGAAAGCTTGGCTGTTTGCAGGGGTGATTCCCACTTGCACACCACTGCTGGGCAGTGTGGGCGGGGACCATCACCGCCTGGTGGCGCTGGTTCCGGGCTCCAGAGGGCCCCCTCTAGGATGTGCCAAGTCCCTTCAGAGAGCTTGGCCCAGTGCTCTTGCAGGGCTCTGTTGGTGTCAGAGGGGTAGTAACAGCGCTCGTGGTGTGGTCAGGGAACGTGAGCCATTTCTAAGCCATGTTTCACAGTGCAATTTATAAACCGTTCTATAAAAAGAACAAAAGTTTGCTCTCCATAAAACTTTTAGAATCAGAAAGGCTGGAAGCTGGGCGTGGTGGTGCCAGTGGGTCTGTCCTGGAAACAGCTGCTGCTGGCAGCCCACCGAGGAGTTGTCCTGGCTCCCCATTCCTGCCCTTTTTTTTGTTTTCCAGTACTGTGGCTTGTACCTCTGCACCAAGCTACATCCCTAGCCCCTTTTTATGTTTTATTTTGAGACAGTGTCTTGCTAAGTTGCTAAGTTGCCCAGGCTGGGCTTGAACTTGCTATCCTCCTGCCTCAGCCTCCCAGAGTGCTGGGATCACAGGCGGGCCACACCACACCCAGGGTGCCTGTTGGGCCCAGGCTGAGCCTCCTCTTTCGTCCACTCGCCCACAGGTCATCAATGGACTGGTGCAGACCACCGGCTGGCCCAGCGTCGTCACCTGCCTCGGCAACTGGTTTGGGAAAGGAAGGTGAGAAGCCACTGCCTGCTTCCCAGTAGCATTTACTGTTTAAAAGATCCCGATGAGAACCAGCCCACTTTATCAGCAGCTTTCCTTCTTTCCTCGCCTCCTCTGTACAGCAAGAGGCTGGAGGCTCCAGGCTGCAAGTCCTAAAGGCCTGTGCCTGTGTGGATAGAGCTCAGCCTCCCCTCGTGGGACCACACCCCTCACCTGGGCTCTGGGCTCTTGGGAAATGCAGAGTCCTGAGCTCCCGGGCCCCCTGAGGCCGAGTCTCCACTTCAGCCTGGGAATCTGCGAGCCAGCCGCAGGGTTGGGATGGGTGAAGTCGCCGAGGAAGATGCCACACAAGGTGGAGAAGCCAAACGGGCAGCAGCCCTGGAGCCCCATTTAGAAACCACTGCAGTCATGGGATGGGCGCACCCACGCAAGCTCCCATTCACACGGTAGTTCGGCAAAAGATGTGTTTAGCTTCTAGAAGCACTCCAAGAACTTCCCTTTGGAATTGTAGAATAGCGAAGCTCCAAGAGAGGGGGGATGTGACTGTGCCCGAGGCCCAGCCAAAGCTGGGCTGCCTGGCGAGTGAGCGTCAAGCGCGCTGCTCCCACAGCTGCGAATGCACCCTCACCATGCATGCCCTGTTTGCTTGTGTCTCAGGCGCGGTCTGATCATGGGGGTCTGGAACTCCCACACCTCCGTGGGCAACATTCTGGGCTCCTTGATTGCCGGCTACTGGGTGTCCTCGTGCTGGGGCCTGTCCTTCGTCGTACCTGGGGCCATTGTGGCCACCATGGGGATTGTGTGCTTCCTCTTCCTCATCGAACGTAAGTACAGTACGCGTGGCCTGGAGGTGACTGAGGAGAGCCTGTGCCTACTCCCCAGGCGGCCGGATTTCCTGCTGTCTCCTGCTCATCCTCCTGCCCCGCCCCATCCTCTGCCCTGGCTCAGGACCTGGTGTGTGCCTCAGGTCTACGCAGTGCCCCAGCCAGCGTGGCTGTCCTACTCCTCGACTTCCTCCACAGCTGAGATGCCCTTGCCTGAGCGCCTGCCCCGGATAAGCTCACCCTGGACAGCGCTGTGAACCATGGCGTGACGGAAGGCCGTAGAGCCTAATTAGCCAGAGTTCTACTGAAAAATTAAATTCCTCGTTCTGTTCTAGCGTCAATACCAAACTTCTGACTGAACAGATTTTGAAAACACTTTTTTTTCTTTTTTGGTACTGGTGATTGAACTCAGGACCTTGAGCTTTCAAGGCAGGCGCTGGAAGCACTGAGCTAAATCCCCGGCCTTGAAAATGCTTTTTAAAGTAGGATCTGGCAGCATAGGATTTGCACAGCCAGGCTGTGAAGGAGAAACCTGCCCGCTCTAACGCTGTGAGCTGTCTGATAACACACGCTTGGCATTTAGTTCCTCATGTGGTGCCCGAGGAGAACCCGGGCAGGTGGAAGGGGTCAGATCTGTTTCCTCTGCCCCTCCTGACACACCCCGTAGCTTCTCCTCATCTGAGAAAGGAATGCATATTTGATTTGGTTTCTCACTTCTTTCTCCCTCTTGCTGAAGCCAGCCTCTGAATTTTAAAAATACCCATCCAGCCGGGCTAGGGCTGTGCAGCTCCTGGGCGGCCTCCAGTGTGGGTGAGACGGAAGCGGAAGCGAAGCGCAGGCTCAGGGGTGGGACTCACAGCACCCCCGAGGGTGTGAACAGGGGCAGACAGCAGACTCTGACTCCACGGGCCGGAGCCCAGCTTCCGACCTGACCTGCACGGGCCCCTCCCCTGCTTTCCTAGCACATTTGGCTCTTGGTCGAGAGAGAGACCTTGTCTGCACCATTTCTGTTTCTAATGAAGTCTGCAGTCTGTTAGGACTGCTGTCCTGATCGCTGCTCCGTACTCCAGCTCTGCATCGATTTACTTGCCACACCGTGGCGTCTGGACTTTGGTGGTGCCCACCGGCCATGGCCTCCTTCCACACCGGGGCTGGCAGTCAGGGGCCGGCTGGGCTGGCTGGGGTGTGGTGCACTGCAGCGCTGTCAGCTCACCTGCAACCTCCAGGTCTTTCTCTTACACCTGTGCTTGTTTAGGGAAAGTAGCAGATGACATCCTGTTCCTTTTCTTGTGTATATTTAAGGTGTAGGGCTCAATGTTTGGGGACATGGAAACAGGAAAAGGTTACTGCAGGGAGGCAAGTTGACGTAGCCACCAGGCCACGTACCTACCGGGTTTTGTTTCTGAGGGAAAAGCAGCGAAAGCCTTAGGGAATCCTGCTGCGGTGGGCAACGGGGTCTCTGGCCCGCCCGTCCGCTGCACAGCGCATGCTCAGCCTGCTCAGCCGGCTCCTGTTTGCTCTTTCAGATCCCAAGGACATCCGGTGCACCTCCACCCTGACCACGGTAAGCCTCATGCCTCCAGGGCAGGCTGCTCCTGCCCAGACTGTGGGGCTGTGTGGTCTAGGAGGGGGCGCTTGTCACCTGGTCCCCAGCGGCTGGGCAAGTGGCCCCCCTAGGAACCAGAGGTGGGGCTAGCCGTGTCTCCCAGGAGAGGGGCTGCCTGGCTACACCCGGGCTGGGTGTGAGGGAGGAAAGTACCAGGTGAGTGGGCTGGTGTCCGTCTGCACTGGTGGCCATGCCTCTTGGGTGGTCCTCGCTGGCCATGGCCCTGCCTCCTGGAGGCTCTGTGCCCCTGGCCAGCCCCCTGGCACCTGCTCCCTCCCCGAATGGTGGGCTCTGGCTCCTGCAGTCCCGTCCCTCCCTGCATCTGCCTCCTGGCGCGCAGGGTCACGGGCGAAGTGCGTGCGTGCTGTGACCGCCATTCAAGAAGAAAGTCCCTCCCCCTACGCCCTGCTCAGCAGCTCCCTCCTGTGGCACCTCCTCTCCTTGATCCTCCCTCACCCTCTGAACTGGGCCAGGAGGCAGCCACAGCATGGTCTCGCCCCCCACACCCACCTGGCCTGCGTTGGATGCCCTTGTCCATTCCCTCCCTCGCCCTGTGAAGCGCTGGCCGCGGGCTTCCGGTCACCACGCCCTCCTGGTTTATGGAGACACGCTGGTCACGTCTGGGTGGACTGCTTCGTGGGCCCCTCCGGAGACCCCCAGCCTCTCTGTCCTCACCTGCCCGCACACAGGAGCACCCACCCAGCCCACGGTTTGCCTGCATGTGGTACAGGGGGAATTGGTGGAACTGCCAAACCTGCTCGATATCCGTAACTTGAGTTCGTGTTCTCTAAAATCGAAGAATGAATTCTAGGAACAACGGAGGTTAAGAGTAGGAAAATCTATTGAGAGAAAGACAGCTTCTGCCTGAGAGAGACAGAAGGGGGACCAGAAAGTGGTTGCCTGGGGACCCTGCTTCTCAGGGGTTCTTTATGGAGCAAAGCCTTGAGATGAGGCGGATAAGGGGGCACAGAACTACACTCAACTAGTAAGATTACAAGTACAGTCGCTTAGGTAATATTGGTCCAACGGGAAATCACAAGGTGGGTGTGAGGTGGGACAAAACTGTGATCAGCCAATAAAATTACGATAAGTATAGCCGCTTAGGTAATATTGAACTAAATGGGGAAGCAAATCACATAGCAAGTGTATGAGGAACAAACAAGGATTTCCGGGAAGGGGTGGGTTGAGGTCTTGATCCCCAACCCAGGTGGTTGATGCCTATGTAGAATATCAATCACTGCTGTCCATCCCTAGGGGAAGTGTGCAGGTATAGTTCTCTCTTTATGATGCTGGCCTTCTGTGAAAGTGCCTCAATTGTCCTTCACATTGACTCCTCCAGCAGCCCTGTCGAAATACCTACACGATATCTGATTAACTTTCCTATCTATAATACATTGACATCCGTGTCCCCAGCCCGTCCCCTCCCACGAGCCCACTTGCCCTTCCCACGGTGATGCCCGCTGTCTGCTCACACTGAGCCCAACCAGAGTGGACCTGAATTTCAACCATAAGCTCACCGTCCCCTGGTGTCCCACATCATGGTCAAGGACTGACCACACCCGCCCGGACAGGCAAACCAGGGGTCACTGGCCCCTTCCCTCAGCCCCAGCCCACCCCAGCTGGGTCCCATCCTGCTTAGTTCCGGTGGTGGCATGCGTGGCGTGGATGCCCTTGCATTACCTCACCCTCACCTCTGAGCTCCTGAGACCGTCCTCTCCCTCCTGCCACCCAGATCTGCTCCTCACTCCGCACCTGCGCAATCTTCTGACAGCAGAAGCCAGAGCTGCATGTGCAGGCCCACACCTGTAATCCCAGCACTTGGGAGGCTGAGGCAGGAGGATCGCCCTGAGTTCAAGGGCTGCCTACACCACATAGACCCTGTCTCAAAAATCAAAAACAAAACAAAATGAAAAAAGAGCTGGCGATGCAGCTTCACGGCAGAGCACCCCTAGGTTCAATCCTCAAAACCACAAAAAAGCACCAGAAGCCAGAGCAAGTCACGGCCTTGACTGGTGTCTCAGCATAAAACCCTCCATACCCTTTAACACCTGTCTCGCAGGCTGATGGCTCGGGAAGGTTCCCCGAGTTGCCACCCCACACGCCTGACTGCAGAGGCTGAAGGGACCAAAGACCTAACCGTGAGCTTTTGGAAGACAGGCGAGGCCCTGCGGGTCGGCAGAGCTTTTGAAGGTGGGGCGCCAGGGCGCGGGGTGCTTCTGGTGCGAGCATCGCATCACCTCGAAGCACCGCAGTGGGGAAGTTTTAAGAAAAGAGGCTTACTTGGCTCCTGGTTCTAGACGTCCCAGGTCAAGGGCTACAGCCAGCCCGGGCCTTCCTGGCCGCAGGGTCTGCGCTTCGTGGGAGGAGCCAGGGTCTGGGAGCCGGAGCGAGCCTGTGCCTGTCTCTTGGGCTCTATCCTAGGGAAGCCACCATGGAGTCTGCGCTGGTGACCTGTCTAAGCCTAATCACCACCCACAGGCTCCACCTCTCAGCACCCTCGTCATTCCTCGCAGGAAGCCTGGGGGTGTCCCGACCACCCCCAAACAGAGCAGGGCAGGAGAAACAGGGATCAGCTAGACTTCATCAGCATTTAAAACTTTAGTGTTCCAAAGACCACTGAAGAAAATGAAAAGCCCACGGAATGGGGGAAACACTTGTAAATCAAGTCAGACACTCAAATCCGTGAAGTGCTCTTAATGTTCAGTAATAAAAACAGCCAGCTTTGAAGTGGTCAGAGGGTCCCAGGAGACGTCCCTCCCGGGAGATATACAAGTGGTCACTAAGCAGGTGGTCAGCACCACCGGCCACCAGAAAAATGGAACCAGAGCCACAGTGGACCCACTTCATCCCCAGTGGGGCGGCCGGGGTGAGGCAGGGAATTCACGTTGACGAGGAGGCCAGGAGTCAGCACTCAGCCCCTGCTGGCGGTGAAGGGCGGCAGGTGCTTAGCAGACTAGGCACAGAGTCAGCTGCAGTGCAGCGGGTCCCCCCAGAGTCTATGTAGGAGAAAACGTGCCCACACAGGAATTGGTAAAGGAACGTTGCTAGCAGGATTTGTAACAGACCAAAGCTGGAAAGCAGGTCACTTTGAGCTGACATGCAGGCAGATGGAATAGGAATGCCTTTGACATTAAGAGAAAGAGCACTGACAGGCATTGTGTGAGCCTGAAACTGCAGATGGAAGAAGCTGGGCACAAAAGATCCCAGGGGGCACAGATCCACTCGTGTAACGGGTCCAGGTGAGGCACGGGTGTGGACCGAAGGCAGACCACAGCGCGGCGGGTGTGGAGGGCAGCTCTGGGGGCGGCGGGTGGACCGTCTCAGCCATGCTCTTTGCAGCGTGTCAGGTCCCTCTGTGGCTGACAGCCAGGCTGCTACCTGCCTTGGGTCAGTCTGTCTGGAAGCCTCTGGATGACGAGGTGCCCGTGTTTATTCTGTCTGTTTGCTGCTCTTCACTTTTGGATTGTCTGTGGAGAAAAGCAGGCATTTGTTCTGCAGTGGTTCCCACAGCAGGGGCTTTGCTGGCCGCATCCTTGGGTGTGTGGGACCTGCACCTCTGCCTGGCTCTGCTGTGGACTGGCAGCCTCCATCCAGAGTTGATTTTCCCAGTTAGTTCTTTTTTCAGGTGAGCCACAATTAAGAAGGAGGAAACAGAGCATCCAGGGGTTTAAAACTTGCCTGGAGCCAGAGAGTGCCCCGGAAACATGGCCCTCTAGCATCTGCCCTGAGCTGTTGGCAGACGGCTTTGGGCGTTTGTGCTTTTGGTTTTATTTGATCTCTTTGTTACTTAGGTTTAGGGTATCTATCTGGACTGGGACCTGTGTTTGGCCCACAATCCCATGTTAGGATTTGGGGAAATTTAATGATTTCGTATGTTTGTTGCAGTACTGGGGATCAAACAGAGGGCTTTGCCCATAATAAGCAAGTGCTTTACCACTGAACTACATCCCCAGCCCTCTATTTTAGCTTATCTTTTTCTTTCTTTCTTTCTCTCTTTCTTTCTTTCTTTCTCTCTCTCTCTCTCTCTCCCTCCCTCCCTCCCTTCCTTCCTTCCTTCCTGAGGATCTTGCTAAGTTGCCCAGGCTACCCACACACTTGGAACCCTACTGCCTCAGCTTCTGGAATAGCAGGAATGACCACCACCACACCAGTTCAGAATGTGATGCTTTTTAGTAAAAGGCGAAAGATTTATACGATCTGAAGAGAAACCAGAGTATAGAATGTGATGCTTTTTATCTCCCTATTAGTTGGAATTAGGCTCAGTGGGAAACAGTATAAAAACCCCACGGCTGTGGCTAAAACAAGGTAGAAAGTATTTCTCTCCTGTCTCCCGGAAGTGCAGAGGCCAGCAGCCAGGGTGGTGCGTGGATCCTGGCCACAGGCTCCTCCTGCCCAAGCAGTGAGACCAGTGCCTGGCACTGTGTGCCCCTGGCTGAAGGCTGGGCCCCACTGACAGGAGAAGACCCGGAAATGCTGGCACCTGGGATCGGGGCACCCCCGCCAGCCCCTTGTCCTCAGCCTGGTGGCTCATTCATAGACACCAGGCTCTTGTAAGCACAAAACACAAAACTTTTTTAAAAGATACAGATTGATATTTTTCAGATAGTGCTATAATAGATTTTCTTTAACCTCCAGACAGCTTCCGAGGGGAGATGCCTCGATGCCAGCGTGTGGGGCCACCCATGAATCTGAACAGAGCCCAGCAAACTTGCTGCCCACTCATCCGTGTCTGGCCTTCCAGATGTGACATGTGTGGCATGGCCCAGTGCTGGAAGCCTGAATTGCCATAGAAATTGTTTTAGTAGGATTCACACTAGTGTGAACAAGTAACTTCCTTCTGAGTATAGAGTAATTCCTTATTTTCAAGGAAGTTCATCTGGTGTAGGATGGAGCCCCCCAAGGCTGGTGCTCACCCCACTGAAGCTCTGCACTGAGCCACATGTGCTGAGCCAGCTGTGTGGGTCAGCCTGCTCCTACGTGTGAAGGGAAGGAAGCCACTGCCCTGCACTGTTTCCCAGGCCCTTTCTACTCTAAACCATCAAAAAATCCAAAGCTGTTACAGAAGCCTAGGTCGCCCTCATTGGCATTTCTGTTTCTTTCCCCCCGTCTTGGTCTGAAGGGAGTTATTTTCATATTCTGTTACGGGAGGCTGAAGCCTGGAGATCCATCCAGCTGATCAGCCTGCTGATTTATCTTAATCATTGGGCTGTTTTCTCCCAGTAGCTTTCTTCCAATGATAGCATCTATCCCTGCTAAGGAGAGTGAGGCTGGATTCCTGGCTGTCGATTCAGTAATGACATTAACTAAATTTTCTTCTCCCAGCATCCAAAAGCCTACGAGAACGGTACCAACAGATTTAGACTCCAGAAGCCGACCTCACACAATGAGAAGAGCAGGCCCCTGGTGAGTTCCACAGGACTTCTGCTGAGTCTGTCAGGCCAAAGGGGCTGGCCGGTCTTCTGCCCGGAAACTGTCAGCCCTGGGGCCTTTAACACATGAGTTTCCATGTCCTCCTTCAGTGGGATGTGCATTTGCCCCGGCTGGCTTTCTCTGGACACTGAGCTAAGTGAACTTCATGCCTCTGATCCAGCTGAGGGCAGCTCACACCCCCTGTTCAGGTCCCTTGCGTGATGCCATGGATGGGCGTGGGCCGCCGTGCAGAGCTAGAGTGAGCAGAGATGCCCCCCACAGGGCCCAGGGAGGCTGCCCTCAGCAGGAGGCATTGAGCGGGCCTGAGAGGGGCAGGCAGGACTCGGGTGCTGGGAAGAGGGCGCCAGCTGGGGGCATCTCGGCGTGCGAGGGGCACAGGGAGGAGCCGCACCACAGGGGCGGGACACGGTGAGAGCAAGAGGCGAGCTAAAGGACCCCGTTCTACAGATGAGGAAACTGAGGCAGCGGTGCGGTGTCTCCTGCCACCCCTGGCTGCCCCCGCATCCCTCTCGATGCTTCTGCAAGCTCCTGGCATTGTCACTGCCTCCCAGCTCACTGCACCAAGCCTCGGGGGAGCTTAGATTTGGGTTATGGTCTGGATTGTGAGCGGCTTTCTCACCCATCCAGTCTCTGAAAGGTTGAATGCACCAAACAAGCGTCTTGCTTTTTTCCCTCTACTGCCTGGACTGAAATAGCAGAGGAGGGCAGGCGATGCCTCCGGCCCCTGGGTCTGAGTGAAATTGTAAGCAGTGAATCACTCAGCAAGCGCAGCAGGGTCTCTAACCACTTCCAAGCCAGCCTCACAGAGCGCATCCTGATCAGTGTCCACACGGCCACTCCTCACTGGTGACAATGAGGGCCCGGCTTCCAGTGTGCTACTGACTGAGAAGAGCTCCCCATGTTGCCGCTCCTGCCAAAGCCTGTTTCCCTCCTCGCCACCAGAGAGCCGCTTCCATACTTAGCCATGGGGCCGCTCGGCTCAGGGCAGGGCCGGGCAAGTCCTGGGCTGCAGCTTCCTGGAGCAGAGGCTTTGGGCCCAAGAAGCCCCTATCTCTGGAGGGCGCCCGAGTGCGGACCGCCATGTCTTGTCTGCCCTGTTGCTTCTTGTTGGCTCTGGAGGGAGCCGGGGTGCCCTGAATTTGTTTTGGGAACCCACCATGGCTTCCCCCATCTCCTGCAAGCTGCGTACCTGGATTTGGCTCAGGAGGGGCTGTGGGTGGCCCCAAAGCCCCCCGTCACACTGTGCACTTGTCATGTGTGTTGGTTGGCTACTCCACGGTGTCCTGCAGCTCCAGCTCAGTTTGAGGTCCAGTCTGGGCATTGGGAACGCCCCCACTGCGTGACAGCTACTGATTTAGAAGCCTCTTTCTAGGAAAAGATCCTATAGATGTGTGGTTACATAAATGTAATATAAATACATAAATATTTAAGCATTCTTTGAGGTCAGAATGAAAATCCAGCTTTGACTGATGTGTTATTTAATACTCAAAGCATTTTCCTATGTTACTAAAAACTTGCAAACACTTCTTAACAATTGCCAAATAGGTCATTGTCTTAGTCACTTTTCTCGACGCTCAGATACAATACCTGACACCCAGGGACCAGGGATTTAGCTCAGTGGTTTCGCCACCTCCTGCGCAAGTGCAAGGACCCAAGTTTGATCCCTGGTACCAAAAAAACAAAAACACATCAGTTCTCAATAAATTTTGGGGATTTAGCTCAGTGGTTCTGCAGCCTGACTCGAAAGAGCAAGGTCCTGCATTCAATTCCCAGTACCAAAAAAAAAAAAAAAATCTGCTGAGGCAATCTACAATACCTGACACCCAAAACTTAGAGGAGGAGGGCTTTAACTCACGTTTTCAGTCCACAGTCAGCTGGCTCCAGGGTAAGGTGGCCTGGCAGACCGGAAGCAGAGAGACAAGGCTGGAGCGGGGAGGGAGATGTGCCCTTCCGCTCACCCCCGCAGTGGCTGCCTCTTCACAGACCCCAGCTCCTGACAGCAGTGAGCCCCATAACGCAGTCACCTCCCGAAGTCGATGTGTACATGAGGCTGTGGGGGAGATCTGGATAGAAACATAGCACTCATTTACATGGTGGTACCTTACCTGACCAGTATCTGTCCAGTGTGATGCGACATCGATTTTAGGGCGGAAGTAATTTTTTCACTTTTCGTACTGTTGTTCACAAACGGTTGGCTGGAATTTCTGGATTAGGGTTTTGTGAAAGCGAGTGGATTCTGGGACTGCATGGAAAGCAGAATCACCAGGCGACAGCATTGGGTTCTGGCCGCACTGGCGCCACATCTACTCGCTGGTGACGCCTGCTTTTTCCTCTTTTCAACGGGACTCGTTCCAGGACCCGGAGATGCAGTGCTTGCTGCTCTCCCACGGGAAGACCCCCATCCACCCGAGCCACGTCGTCGTCCTCCCGGGAGACAGTGGCCATTGCACGGCCGCCATCAGCTTCACAGGGGCCCTGAGGATCCCGGTGAGTAGCTAGCCCAGGGAGAAGCGTGGTCTCTGGGCAACCGGGCTGTGCCCCGGTCCTGCGGGCGCAGAGCTCACAGGTCAGACACAGGCCGGAGCCGGGCAATGTGGCTGTGAGCTCCAGAGATGAATGTGGCTGAGAGACACTTCCTCCACTTCATGCACTTCTAGTTTTCTTGAAGTTTTCTCCATTTAGAAATTCAAGAGTTCATAGACAGATAGGGCTGTCCTAGAAAATCTGAAAGTCTGGCTGCTCCCAGGGCCAGCACCCCTCTCCTCTCAGGGTCCCCAGCCCCTCCCAGTCTCGCTCTGCCCCTGAAGTGTGGTCAGTAGCAGGACCAGAGAGGAGCCGCAGGGTCCTGGGCCTCTGGACTTGGCCTTAGAAAATTCTGTCGCCAGCCCTCGGGAGCATCTTGCCATCAGTGCGGAAGGAGGGTCAAGGGCGAGCGGATGCAGGGAGGGGCAGTGTTGAGACCTCTGTGGCCTTCGATTGTCCTCTGTTGGATTCCTGGGCCCACCCGGCACTGTGAGGAGCCGCCTGCAGGATGTGTGCCTAAAAGCCAGGTCCCCTGTAGGTGGAGGGCAGCGAAGAACAGCAGAGAACCGAGAACAGGAGAAGCAGGGGCCGCTGGTGTCCGCTGTGGAGCCTGGTGGTCAGTGCCAGGCTGGGCCTAGGGTGCAGGAGCTGGGCCCCAGAGGGCGAGTACGGCCTCCTGTGTAGCAGTCACCCTCAGAGAGAAAGGGGATGCGGGCACCGAACAGGTGGGGGGATGAGAACAGTGCAGCCCAGGACCTCAGAGTAACTCGTGGAAACAAAGGACAAGAACACTGCTCCAGGGGAGCGTGCGCCAAGGAGCATGGGAAACTGGGTCTACAGCCAGAGCCAGAGCCACGGCCGGAGCCCAGCTGTGCCCTGCAATGAGCATCACGTCCCAGCCTGGCCACCGGGGCCTGCAGAGGCCTCTGCCCCCCCAGCCTGTGAAAGACGCTGGCTGTGGTTTATTTTGGGTTCTTGTTTGTTTTGGTTTTTTGAGAGAGGGTCTCACTATGTGGCTCAGGCTGGCCTCCTGCCTCAGCCTCCCAAGTGCTAGGATTAACAGGCATGCATGCATCAAGAAGCTGGTGTGAAATAAGAGTTATTTTAAACCTGTGCTCTTAGTAACAGTTGGCGGCTGTCCTGCCCTGCCTGACCACGTAGTTGCCCCGAATGCTTGGGTCTAAGGAGGGTGTGGACGGGGGCAGCGTGCAGTGTGGGAAGGGAACTCACCTCTCCACTGCTGGGCCGGGACGTCAGGTTCCCATCTGAAGGTGCCTGTGGGCGGAGCCGCTCCAGGACCAGGCTCAGGCTCCAGGCTGCAGCCCCCCACCGAGTCTCCCTGGAGCCACCAGCTCGCTCTCTCTGCAGGGTGTGATCGAGTTCTCTCTGTGCCTGCTCTTCGCCAAGCTTGTCAGCTACACCTTCCTCTTCTGGCTTCCGCTCTACATCACCAGCGTAGGTGAGCGAGTCGCCGGCATGCTGTGTGGTCCCGTGTGACATAGCCCCTCACATCCGCTGGGCCCCAGAGGGTGGGGCATGGGCCATGCCTGGGACGTGAGGACTAAGAGGTGGACAGCAGGGCCAGACATAGACAGGAGAGCAGCTGGGGCCCTAAGGGTAGCCTGCAGGGGTGCAGCGCTGGCGCCTCCTCTAGGCTGTGCTTCCTGCCCCACAGGCGCGGCTACTCCGGCAGCCTGCATTTCAGTGGGGCCACTGCAGCCCCTGGGGATGGAGGCTGTGAACCCCTAAACCCTGACCTGGAAGGCGCCTCTGGGGGACACGTTCCGATCAGAGGGAGGGCTGACCGTGAGTCCAGCAGAGGCTGGAGCCGGATCAGGACAGAACAGACCTGTGGAGTAGACAGCGGTCTCTGCACGGGGACCACGGGACAGTGGGAGGGGCGGCAGCACCCAGGACAGGGGTCATGGCTGGAGCAGTTGGACCCACGGCGGGGGGTGGGGAAGGTTGCTGCAGCTCTCGGCGAAGGAGTCAGGAGAGCAGAGCGAGGGGACACAGGTCTCCAGGAGGCTCGGCTCGGCTCGGGCAGGCGCAGGCACACGGCCAGCCCAGCATCGGAGAGCTGGGGAGGGCTGGAGGGCGGAGAAGGGTGAGCCGCTGCCAGCCCTCGCCTGTCACTTCCCAGGCCTCCTCCTCTGCCCTGCCGGGCGCTCTCACCCCGGCCCACTCTGTCCTTTTACAGATCACCTGGACGCCCAGAGAGCCGGTGAGCTCTCCACGCTGTTCGACGTGGGCGGGCTCTTCGGTGAGCTCCCGCCTCCCGCCCTGCTCTGTCAGACACTGAGGGTGCAGCCCGCGCCTAGGGGCCCAGAGTGGCCTCGGCCATCCCTGCGCATGGGGCCCCTCTTCCAGGCCTGCCTCTGACCTTGAACTAGCAGCCCCCGGGTGGGTGACAGAGTGGTGGCTCTTGGACCCTTGCAGGCCAAGGGCTTCAGGCCTGACCCCAAGACCACCCTGAGGTCCTCCTGGAGACGCCCACATGGGGCCACGGCCAGATGAGCCCGGAGGTGACCACCGCCACGACTTTCCTCATCCCGCCTTCCGCGGCTCGGGTGAGCTGGTGCCCGCCTGACCCCGTCGTCCTGTGTTGCAGGCGGGATCCTGGCAGGCGTCATCTCAGACCGGCTGGAGAAGCGGGCCTCCACCTGCGGCCTGATGCTGCTGCTCGCTGCACCCACGGTCAGCGTCTCTGCGGCCAGCGCTGTCCCTGAGCTGTCTTCCCTCCACCAGGCTCCCCATGAAAGCACCTCCCTCAGCCCTGCTCCTCTGGGGCTCCCATTCCCAGAGCAAGCCCTGCCGGCCTTTGGGACCCCACACATCCCCACTTCCCACCCCTATGAGGCTCACCCTACTTTTAGGCATTTATTAGCTCATGACATTGGGTAGGTGACATCCCCTCTGCGTGCCTCAGTTTCCCCATCTGAGCAGCGGGATTGACAATGGCACCCTGCAGAGTGGCCTTGGGGACTGTCACTGCCCTTCTTACAATACTGGTGGCCTCTTGTTCCCACCCTTCCTCTCCTCCATGGGGCCGTGGCTGTCCACAGAACAAGGTCCAGTCCTGTGTCCTCTGGGGGCCGGGTGTGGCTCACTGCCAGGGCCGGGGTCAGCACAGAGACCACAGTCTCTGCACCCCGAAGGCTCCCCAGGCAGCCGATGGCCCAGTCAGCATTTCCCGTCCTTCTCTGTCCACAGCTGTACGTGTTCTCTGCGGTCAGCAGGATGGGCCTGGAAGCCACGGTGGGTGAGTGCCTGAGGCCTTGCTGCCTTCCTTCCGCACACGTGTTTCTCCACACAGCTTCATGACAGATTTGTTGAGTGACAAGTACATGGTGTGGCCGAGCAGCCCGTGTCCCTCTGTGGGAGAGGCCGGGGCCTCACTCCCGGGCCGGGCCCGTCCCTCTGCAGTTGGGAGTGAGCACGGGGCCATGTGGGCCCCGGTCAGGCCGGGAGGGCTCTGGGTGCCCAAGGGCAGGAGCCCCTCGGAAGCTGGGGTGTCCGGAAGGCAGCTCTCTGTGGGGCCTCAGCAGCCAGGGGCCTGCACCTGGCTGTGACCAGACCCTGTGGAGTGAGCGTCAGTGCTCAGCCTGGGGACAAGCAGGAGGCCCGGCCACCTCCTCCCAGCCGGACCCCATGTATGGCCGTGGAGGGCTGTGTCACTTCCTCCCCCAGCACAGAGGGGTATGCTTCGGGCCCTTAGGAGTCCCGTGCTCCCTGTCCTGCAGGTGAACAGGGTGGAGGCACGTGGGGGTGATGGCCCACTGAAGACCCCGAAAGCAGTGGCCCATGGGAAGGGTGTGCAGTCCCTGCCAGCCCAGAGTCCAGTTCTGGGAGAGCCTGCGTGGCTCAGGAACGGGCCGCGTAGGGGGAGTGTGCGGTTCTGCCCAGGGCAGCACACAGCTCTGCGCAGGGGTGGCAGTGGGTGTGCCTCTCTCCCTCCGCCTCCCGGCCGCTGCTGCCCGCTGCGGGCTGAGGAGCCCAGTCCCAGGCCGCCGGGTGGAGCCTGAGCTTGGGGGAAATGAGGCTTAGCTTAGAAAGCGTGTCACTCAGGGCAGGGGAATTACCTACGTCTCCCTGGCAGCCACCCCATGCCAGACGGCCTCCCCCGCCCACCTGCATCCCGGGGCCACTGCGGGCTCCCCCGACACTGTGCTCTCCCCACAGCCATGCTGCTGCTCAGCGGGGCGCTGGTCAGCGGGCCCTATGCGCTCATCACCACGGCCGTCTCTGCCGACCTGGTGAGTGGCCAGGAGGGAAGCTGGGGTGGAGCAAAGTTTAAGTGTCCTGCTGGAAACCGTTCCCCCGTGGGGTTGTTTTACAGAGTGAGCTGAACATGCAGTGACGTGGAGGGCATGGGCTCCTTTCTGGTTTCTAATGCTGCAGAGATCTTCCGCTTCCACTTTCTCCTCCCTTCCAGGGCACGCATAAAAGCCTGAAAGGAAACTCCCACGCCCTCTCCACAGTGACAGCCATCATCGACGGCACCGGGTCTGTGGGTACGTGCAGGCGGTACCCGAGCTCTGTGTGCGAGAGGGGAAGGTGCTTGTGCGCCCTAACAAGGCTGGGTCCCCACTGTCAGCTCGGAAAACGGGTGAGGGGAAGCAGGAGGAGGAAGGGAAGGGGCGGAGGTTGGACCTCACTGCCCACCCAAGGGGGCACCCTCAGTGCCCTCCCACCAGGCCGCCTCAAAGGAGCACCAAGCTGGGCCCACGCTTCAGCCCGTGGGCCTTTAGGGACAGTGCTCCTGCAGACCAGCACCCCAGCATACAAGCAGGGGTCCCGGCCATCCCAGGAGCCATCCCCTCGGACCCCTGCCCGCACCAGCCATGTCCTGCCAGGAGTGGCCGAGACACCAGGATGTCCTGCCAGCTGGAAGTGGGGCTCAGGCTGCTGGGGATGCTCTGGTGCCGACCAGGAGGCTCTGGGCTCGCTCCCACCCAGGAGCCTGCAGGGCAGGGCGGGAGGCCAGGTGGCAGGCTGGGTCGGGGCAGCTCAGGAAGCCCAGTTCAGCCAGAGCCTGGCCTGCCAGCGTTCCTGCTGCCTGTGTAGGAGGCTTTGCCCTTGGTCGCCCTGTGGCCTCTCTGCCCACCACCCCTGGGAGACACCCAGCCGTGCCTACTGACACAGATCTCAGCGTCACTCCTCCTCAGAAACACCTAGCAGCCAGGCAAAGTGGCACGCACCTCTATCATAGCTGCTCAGGAGGCTGAGGCAGGAGGATCATGAGTTCAAATCCAACCTGGGCAAATTTAGCAAAACTTGTCTTAAAAACATAAAAAGGGCTGGGGAAGCTAGTGGTAGAATGCTCCCCTAGCATATGCCAAGGTTCCAACCCCAAAAACAAACCAACAAAGAAGCCACCTCCAGCGGGCGCGTCCCTGCACGAGTCTCTTCTTCCTTGTTCCCCGAATCCTCGCCCACGCACTGTCCTCCCGAGTCTCCTCCTCACCACCCATGGGGAGCTGTGGTAGCTTCTGGCAGCTTCCATCCCATCCGCTGCTCTCTCAGTGCCATGGCCTCCAGCACAGAGCAGTCCTCTTCCCCTCTGTGATCACTCGATGGCCACACTTGGTGGCCATCCCGGGAGTTCAGGAGTCGCCCTCTGGGCCATCAGAGGCAGCTATAGGGTGGCAGGTGGACCTAGCAGGTCCCCAGGGCTCAGAGGCATGGGTGGAGCTGGTCATCATCATGTCCACGGGGCACGGAATCCCCGTTCCAGGCTCTCACTGCCATTCCCTTGGCCTCGGGTGACAGAGCCAGCTCATCCTGAGAAGCCTGGGACAAGGTCACCCATGTTCAGAAGGTCGGGCCCTGACCCGGTCCTGGCCAGCGGCAGAGCAGCCCAGCCTCAGTGCGGGTCTTCCGCATGTTGGATCCAGAAGCGACGTTGGTGTACTAGACGGTGTGGTGGTCACCTCCGATGTTCTCTCAGGGACCCCTGGGCTCTGGGGACAGGTCCAGGAAGAGGGCAGGGAGGCTGCGTGCTGTGCCTGCTGGCAGGCCTGGAGAGTATGGCGGCCCCTGCAGCCCTCAGAGAGCAGGTCGGAAGCCCACCAGTCACTGTGGATCTCCTCCGTCCCGTCCCGGGCTGTGTGATTCAGCCCCACGCCCACGGGGACACCTTTCTTCCTGCTAGTTGGAAGGTCTGCTGGGAGCCCCGAGTGGCACGGTAAAGCAGGGATTTGAGGTTCAAAGGAAAAAAGAGAGGGAAATTGCAAATTAAGTGGAAAACACACTTTTATTTAATAGAGTTTGTTAAATGAGGGGCACAGTGGAGGTGGCACTTGGAGGCCAGGTCTGAGCAGAGGGCCCTGTCCCGGCGCAGCAGGCTTCCTGAGGTGGTCAGTGTGTGCCAGTACTGACCCTCTGCGGCGGCCAGATCAGGTCGGAGCCTGGCCCAGAAGCTCAGGTACTCAGCAAGCAGTCGCCATGGAAACAGCAGGAGCTGGGCCTCAGTCATTATTTCTTCCCATGAGAGCTGCTCAGCAAGACAAAAGTAGAGAAGTCTCCAGGGCAGAGGCCCAGCGTTCCTGCACAACTTACACCTCGAGATCTGGCCCACTGGGCCATGGAGTCGTCCATGCCCAGTGACCCATACAGGTTCCAGGTGGCAACACTCGGCTGACTGAGATCAGGACACCCTCTCACGTCGCCAGTGCTGCCCGCAGAGGACACGGCCCGTGCATCTGGAGGGTTTGAGCTCCTCAGTGTTGGTGCCCGTGGGACAGGGCAGGCCTGACATCACTATGCTGCGTGTGGAGCAGTGACACTCTGCCCTGCATTATTCAAACTGGATCTTTGTCTTATCCAAGTCCGACATAATCTCCCCTAGAAGCCAGGCAACCCTACCCGCGTTAGGATGCCCCTGGCCACTCACTCGAGGCTCCCTGTGCTGCACCACGTGTTTGAGTCTTTCCTTTCTCTTTTGTTTCTGGTGCTGGGGATCAAATCCAGGGCAAACGCATCCCCACCCAGCTAGGCCCAACTGGGCTCCCCCAGATCCTGGCCTCTTGGAAGGAGAGAGGACTTGGCATCACACATTCCCTGCCTTGGCCTCTGGTGATGCTGGCTGTGGCAGTGTCGTCCACGTTCCAGAGAGGAAAGCAGCTTCAGCTAGACATTTCAGTTCCTTCCTGAGTGAAGGAACCGTGCTGTTCCCTGTCCGCCCAGCCACTCCCTTGCTCTCCCCCGTCGCCATCTTTGCCGTTCATTCTGTCCCCCACCACCTCGTGCGGTGCTGCTGCCTCTTCTCCTGTGAGCCCCTCTCCGCAGCCATGCCGCAGCCTGCTTTGGACCCCGGCCTCCCCTCGGTGGTGCAGGAGGTACATGCTCTGCTCAGTTTTCACATCCGCGGGCCTGGGGTCCCTCTCACTCAGATGTGGGGGCCCCTTCTCTCCTGGAATCCCAGTGTTGCCATTGAGGAGTCCCCTGTCATCTTAGCCCAGTCCTTCGAGGTTGTCCTGCTGTTTCTTGGAGGAGTCTCTAGTGACCCCTCTGTTCCAGTGGAATTGTGCTCTGTAAACACACTCCCCCTGGCCTGAACCTCCTTGATGGGAGTCACGCCTGCACCCCAGGTGGTTCAGAGCTGCCCAGCAGCAAGACGCACACTACACACACATGTACACACGTGTGTGCATTCTGTGAGCTGCTTACAGTAGGTTGCAAGGCTGGCCTTCTACTCAAGTTGTCCTCCCTAAGGATGGATTCCCTGATGCAGGCACAGTGCTCGATCAGAACTGGAAAGCTGATGAGGATAGAGTGCTAGCACTCAGAGCTGGTTCACATTTACCAAGCAAGAGTTTTACATTGTAAGAATAGCCCCCAAGATCATTCAGTAACAATGATGATAACATGGGGGTGTTGGATCAAAACGAGCATTTCAGAAGTAGCAGCTAGGTTTAGAAGGGGTTCCAGGGGGAGTCTGTGCTGTTACCCCGCCAGCACTGAGGATGGTTAGCCTTTCTTTCAGCCCTGACCGTCTGCAGGGGTGAGAGGCGGTTTGCCCTCACTCTGTCCATGTGAGCAAGGTGTGAGCTTTGTTCTGTTGTTTGTCCACCTTGAGTGTTTGAACACTCGTTGGCGAGTCCTGCTGAAGCAGCCTGCGCCTTCCTTGCCCTCTTTCAGGAGCAGCACTGGGCCCCCTTCTGGCTGGGCTCCTCTCGCCATCAGGATGGAGCAACGTGTTTTACATGTTGATGTTCGCAGACGCCTGTGCCTTACTGGTGAGTCCCCACGCGGCCCAGGCGGCTCCTTGGAGCATCCCTGGGGGTTTCTGCAGTCGTGGGGGTTTGGCCGCCCCAGCTGCACTACACATGCGTGGTCTCAGGCTCTTTCTCATTCTGGTGAAGAAATACATATGTGTAAGAAAGGAAGCGGCTGTGGCTGCCGCCCTGTAGACTCAGCAGGCTTCGGGAAGGCCGCAGCAGGGAGCTCCGTGGCTTCCACTCCCTCCAAGCGAGCGTGGGACCTGGCAGGTCCCCGAGCCTCACCAGTGCTGCAGCTTCTGCACGTCACAGTGTGCATGGCAAGGATGCTCAGGGACAGGTCTGTTGGGAGGAGCAGTGTGGGCCCCACACGGTGCTGTGTCTGCTTCCCGTCCCCTTGGCAGATGCCCGGGATCATTCACTTCTAAAGAGGGAGGCTGATTGGGGCACACGGTTTGGGCAGTTTCCGCTGTGATTGACCAGCCCTGTTGCTTTGGGCCTGTGGCAGGGCAGCACAGCCTGGTGGGGGTGTGGTGGAGCAGAACTGCTCGCCTCATGGCTGGGGATCAAGAGAGGGAGGGAGGGGCCGCACCCCAAGCAACCTGAAGAGCTCCTCCTGCCCTGCCCTGCCCTGCCCGCTGCTCCTGAGAGTCCGTGTGTGAACCCGGAAAGGACAGCGTAAGAGCAGGAAGGTCCAGGTGCCCAGAGCGAGTGGAGGCTGTGCAGACGGAGGGGTCTGAGGACTCAGGCACCCCCTGTGGTGGAGGACATACCTGCCACCAGGAGGACGCACATGTTTCCAAGCCTACAAACTGCCGGGCCCTTCCTCTTGGGGACCAGCATTCTTCCTGGTGTCAGTTTTCTCTCCTTCCAGGCCAAGGCAGGGGCCTCAGCCAGCCTCACACTAGGGGCTGGGAGCTCACGGGGACTGAGTCCCTGTTATCGCCAGGGGGAGCAGGCAGCTCTGGGCCTGCAGGACTGGCAGGGCCGGCGGTCGCCAGTCTGCTCCGTGCCACTCCTGTCACCAGGTGCCCAAGGGGTGGTTCCCTCCCTGCACAGTGGTCGCAGGCACAGCACCTTCATGCTGTGGGCGAGTGACCTTGGTCACCCTGTTTGCGGGGCACCCATGCCCACTGTGGCCCTTGTATTCCTCCTCTTCCCTCCTGTCCACCTCAGCTGACTGGGGCTAGAGCTGGAGGTTCGTCCAGCGGAGGTCTGACCGGCCACAGCTCCGGGCTCAGCATCTCCCTGATCGTGCGAGCCTGACTCTGGGCCGAGCCAGAGTGTAACCCACAGAGACGTCCCTGTCCATGGTAGCTTGAGGGCCTGCACCCCAGGCGTGAGGAGCTAACAGTCCTACCCCTGGGCCCCAGCAGAGCGGTGTGTGGCTGAGGGGTAATGGCCTCCAGGACTCCATGGCGGCACCCGCAGCCCTGGGATGCACTGCCCTGCACTGCACAGCCCAGCACAGCCCTCTTGGGGTTGACGTGACACCAACACAGAGGCAGCATGGTTGCTCAGGGGTACCCCGCAGCACCAGCCTCCTGAGACCTCACCGGGCTGCAGAGCCTCCTGCCCAGGCTCCCCCATCACCCTGACTGTGGCTGCCTTGTCTGTATTTTCTTTTTTTCCATCTGGATGTTTGTGATTGGACTGGTTTTGTTTTAAATACCACAGACCCTGAAGTAACCAGGCTGCAGCTTGTCATAAGCACCTTGCTTTCCCTTGTGTGAGGTCCGGGTTATCCCAGGGATCTCGTGAAAGACAGCTGGGCCCAAGCCCGTTTTACCGGGTGAGAGGGCGTGGCCCGGGGCTGCAGGGTACCTCATGGCCTGGCCAGCCTGGCCAGCCCCCTGCAGCTGTAGGCTTCAGGGCGACCCCAGGCGTGCCTGCAGCCTGCTTGGCCCCTGGTGGTCACAGACACCCTGTCTTTGTCCTGCTTGCAGTTCTTGGTCCGCCTCATCCACAAGGAGCTGAGCTGTCCAGGGCCAGTAGCGGGGAACCAGGCTCCGTAAGTGCATGCGCGCCCTTTCTCGGGGCCCAAGGCCACCCCGGGCGCCCTGGCCCATCCACCTCTGGATGTGGCCTCTAACAAGAACACTCACTGCTGTCCCTAGCATGGCTCATGATCCTTTTCTGTGCTTCCTGATAAATGCCTTTGTGTGGGAGATTGTGACAGTGGAGAGATGTCAGGGAAATCACCCCCTCTGTGTGGCTTCTGTGAGCCACGTTCCAGCCAAGACGCCCACTGTGCGGCCCCTCTCGCCCTGGCAGCTCCCTCCCTTCCCTGCCTCCTTCCTCCCTGTCAGGATGGGGCAGGGTGGGGGCACAGGGCTGACCCTGCATGCACGGGTGTGCGTGAGCCTGTGCCTGCAGCTGACACTGCAGGGCCTGCTTCACACTGTTCTTTTCTTTCAGGCTGAAGGAACACTGACCCGATTCCGTTGGAGGAGCTGGGCCTGCCCTTCACAAACTGCTTTGAGCAGCAGCTAAACCAAGGACCCTTCTCAGGAGGGATGACTTTCCTGGAGTGACACAGAACCAGGCTGAGAACTCCAGGTCTGCTCAAGCAGATGGGCACTCGAGACAGCGGTGGGCATCACAGGGCTGCTGCTGGGACTGAGAAACTGAGCCCAGACGGACACGACCCGCCCAGCCCCAGCCTGGCAGCCCTGTGTCCCCAGTCACCCTGATATGGTGTGTGACAGTGTGGAGCTCCCTCAGGTACCCCCAAAGCGAGTGCCGAAGCCACAGCCCAGCCAGCAGGAGCCCCCGCTAGGCTGCTCTCTCCTGAGAGCCCACACATCCGAAGGAGGGCACGAGACGTGGGCACAAGGACACACCAGCTCCACACGGGCACTGGTCAGAAACCAGGGGTTTCTCCAGCTGGTCTGTTCTCGGTGCTGACTTGGAAACTGCAGCCGTCCAGCAGTGACCCGCTGTGAAGCCATGCACTGGCAACAGGACAGAGGCACCAGGTGCAGCCAGAGCTCCTGGGCCCCTGCCATCCAGGGCCCATCAAGCTGCACACTAGGAGTCGGGTCAGGAGGCCGGATGGGGGCCAGAGGCTGCCCCGAGACACGTACCAACCCTGGGCCGTTCCTAGATACATAGCCATGGGGGGTTATTTATTTAAAATGCATTTTCTGTTATATGAAGCTTAAGAAATGTAAGTGGCATTTTGTTATTTATTAAGACAAACTGAAATGGTTCTCTGGTTATTTGTTTTTGGGTGTTGGATCTAGCAAAATACTTATCTGCCCTTTGAAATAAAATGGGTTTTAGAAAAAAAATTCAAGCAAAACACACAGAGTATCGGTCATTTCTGCTCGCATGTCCGTGACTTGTGTGGTATTGGTTTCCCGGGACTGGACACTCAGGTGTCCGGGAAAAACAGAGGGGCTCCCACCCGAGGGGCTCTTCCTCTGCATGCAAGGCCCCAGTACACTAGGCGTCTGGAGATTTTATAAATCTGCTCCTCGAAGGGTGCCCTAACATTTGTCCTTGACTGTGAAAGGACACACACGGGAGGAGGGGCTGCAGGGGAACCGAGGTGGTGCAGACTCAGGGTCCAGGTTTGCACCGTGTTCTTCGGAGCCGGAAGCCGTTCTGGGCCGTGACCCAGTCTCCCGGCTCTGCGGGGCCAGCGGGGGCAGCTGGCCATCCTGACGTTGCTTACACATCCACAGAACTGCCTGCTGAGAGTCCAGTCACGGTGAACTCTAAGCAGATTGTAAGTCTCCTCCACAGTCTCTCCTCTCCCAGGGCCCTTTGTCCTCCTGGCAGCTGCCACTTACAGTGTCCCCGATCCCTCAGGACACGCAGCACCTGTGTCCTCTCGGGTGCAGCTTGGGTGTTGAAATGGATACACAAAGGGAGGGCAGGGCGGGAACCTCAGAGAACTGAGTAACAGAGCCCTGTCACCGCCGCATAGAGGGGTCCCAAGCAGGCCCCGGCCAGCCACCCACTCGGCTGCACGAAGCTTTGGGGTCACAGCTGTGTTTCCCCGACTCCATGAACCAGTGTTAGAGGGAAACCCTGGTGCCAGAGGCGGAGCAGTCCTGAGTCCCTGGGCCTTCCAGGCCGAACCCTGAGCGTGGATATCTTTTGATATGGATGGTTGATCTTTTTTAAAAGATGAGGAAATGTAGCTATATTTAAAATCAGTTTAGCTGAAATAAAATTCATGAATGGAAGATTTTACCATGACTCTTAAGGGGAAAAAAAGTATGATTTTGGTATATACACATACCACCACCACCCCCCCAACAGTGGCTGGGAGGATTCCATCTGCAAACACCCGGCAGGAGGCTCCCCGGAAACGCGCCTGGGCCTGGGTGTGTGTGTCCCTGAGTTGTCCTGTTCGGGGCAGACAGTGCCAGGCCTGCAGCTGGAGGAAGAGACCTCCTGCCTGCGTCTCCCGAGGTGTCTGGTGGACCTTCATCCTGTACTTCTCCCTTATTCTGTCCATGGAGGAAGCAGAGCAGCCCCCAGTCACCAGCTTGGAAAATCCCGTCTAAATAAGTCCTTCCAAAGATTTCTCACTTTCAGTTCACAGGCAGCCGACCTTCTGGGCCACTGTGGACGTGAAGGCCTGTCCCTGTCCCCGCTGACCTCACCCTGCTGCTGCAGGCCACCACTGGTGCCACTGCGGAGACCGCACAGCCCCGGAGCCCTGCAGCCCTGAGCACGGTGGAGGTGAGGAACAGCTCCAGGGTGGGCCCGGGGCAGCTGCGTGGCCCTGTGGCCTGGGGACGCTGGTGGTGGCACGGTGGCTGCTGCCACCCAACAGCTTGGAGGCTGGAAGGTGGGTCAGGGAGGCTGCAAGCTGCTCACATGGTGTCCCCTGGGGGCCCCGGGCTGGGTGCCAGTTGAAAAGGCAGGGCCCCTTGTTCAGAAGGCGAAAAGCAAGTGTGGTTGGCAGCCAGGCGCACAGCTCCCTCCCCTTAGTGCGCTGCTCATTCCCCCCACCCACCCCCCGCCCTGGCTCTTCATCTCTTCTGTCCTCTGGAACAGCTTCCCATGTCAGCATGGCCAGGCAGAGCCCCCGGCGGTTCTGCCCAGCACAGTCAAGGTGTGCTGGGAGTTCTGCAGATGTGGGGAACCTTCCTCGGATGAGCGGGTGGCGAGGGTGTGCCTTGTCCAGGCTGCAGAGGCCTACAGAGCCACCCTGCAGCCTCCAAGGAAGGGGAACTCAGCCTCGGCGCCTGCGAGAGCTTCTGGCTGCCCTCCTGCCACCTGCCTCCAGGCATGGGACAGGCCGGCCCACCGTCCCTTGAAATGAATCCACAGTGCATGCATGTGTGTGCGTGAATGTGCATATGTGTGCACGTGTGTGCACCTGCATGTAGCCCACCTCTGTTCCGCCTCTTTGGCTGCACCTTGCCTGATCCTTTCTGCGTTTTCTGCATTGGTTTCTTTTGCATGAATGTGTCATACTCATACACGCAGACAGCTGCAGCCTGGAAGGGAAGTTAAGGACACAGTCCATGCCAGTGGGCCGCTCCCAGAGACAGTGGCTCTTGGTACGTTTTCAGGTGGACGTGCAAAGGCACCGCTGTACTGAGCCCAGTGTTCTGCCACACTGTACATCGAGGCTCTCCAACTCAAGACGTTCTCCCTCCAGAGCCTCCTGCCCCACAAAGACACTTCCTGGCTGCCTGATCTCATGAAACTTGCTATGTCTAGAGACAGCGCAGTGATCTCTAACTTGCCTATGGAATTATGTCATCCATCCACCCGTCCATCCATCCTCAACCTGTACAACCTGCCAGAGCAGAACTAGTGCAGGGACAGTGAGAAACAGGGTGAGCCAGGTCTGCCCTCACCGAGGTTCAGTAAACAAATGAGCCAGGACAAGTTCTAAAACAGGATCAAAACAGTATGTAGGAGCGAGTGAGGTGGTGCACATCTATAACCCCGTAATCTGGGAGACCCAGTGGGAGGCTGGGATGCTCAAGTCCAGCATGGGCAACTTAGCAACTGAGACAGACTCTGTCACAAAAATAAAAAACGAAAGAGGACTGAGGATTAGCCCAGTGTGAAGACCTTGGGTTTAATCCCTGGCACCCCCCCAAAAAATGCTGGGGGTCAGGAAGGGAAGCGCATTATGTTTTATGAACAGTGCCATTGAGGAGGGACAGTTGGGCAGAGAATTCAGTGGCTTGATGGGGCGAACAATGCAGCAACCTAGGGAAAGACCCTGGCAAGGCGAGGGGTCTGGAAGGAAGTGCAGTGAACACAGGCTGGGGGTACTGAGAGTCCACCAGGACTGGGGGTTCCAGACAAGTATAGATGGGTCCTGTGTCCCATGGAGGACTGGAGGTGGGGCCAGCAGGGTCCTTGGACAGGAGGCCAGGAGCTGGCTGGCTCCAGGGCATGACAGGGTGGAGGGACTGTTGAGCAAGAGAACATGAAGAGAAATGGAGGGACCCAAGGGGAAGCCATTCCTGGGCCCACGAGGAACTGAGGTCAGATAGCATGATGGAAGAGCTGACCTTGATCTTAGAGGTCACCTGACAGATAAGGAAAATGAGGCCCCACAGGGCACAGTGGGGAGGAGGCCTGGATCTACTACTGCACCTGCTTCTGTAGGCTCTGTCTTCAGGAAGCACCCCCCCCATACCAGGGCAGCTTGAACCTGACCCCACTATCCCCAAGATAGGGTGTGCAGTTGTCCCTCCAGGACCACAGCATCACTGCAGACTTCAGGGTGGACACCGCTGGTGCCACAGCATCTGGCCACGGGCGGAAGTCAGGGCACCTCTGCAGTTGGGGGGGCCGGTGGCTCAGGGGACCCACAAGCTGCTGCCTAGCATCTGAAAGCGGATGCAAGTTTGCTTTGGTGTGTTCGGGCACCGAAGTCCCTGCTGCTAGCAGAGGGCCTCCCAGCCTGGCTCCCGTGCACTGGGGGAGCAGCTCCTGGCCTCCTTGACCAGCAGCCCCCGGGGCCGCCCCAGCAGACCCTCCTGGCACAGCTCACAGGCCTGGCTGCCGGTCTGCTTGGTGTCCTTGTTGCATTTGGAGAGACATCAGCTATATCCAGACAGCCAGCCTGGGGACCTGGAGGAAAGGAAACCAGAGCCGCCCGCACCTCCCAGCCCTTCTGATGCTGCCTGGTGCCCTCCAGTTAATAAACAGAGTCTGCTTTGAGAAGGCTGACGCATCCCAGCTCCCACCGTGGCCAGGACAGGGATGGGACCCAGGTCTGACTCTAACAGTCCGGGCCAGGACCCAGGGCTGTAACAAAAACGAGTCAGAATGCCGCAGGCACCGCGCATGTGTGCCGACCTCAGCAGTCACAGCCCTCCTGTGCTCCCCGCTCAACGCCCCACCCCACCAAACACTTGATTTTCCTTTCGTCACACTGAGTTTTTAAGAGCGCTTGGATCGTGCATTGCGCCCAAGCAGCTGCAGTCCCGGGACCGGCCGTCCGCTCCACCTCTCGCTCTGTCGGAGCACGGACCAGATTCAACTCCCTCTTCCAGGAGACACCTTGAAGCCGCGGAGATGCAGGTGCTGCCCGGTGACCCTGGGCTGTCCCAGCTGCAGGTGACCACAGGTGACTGCTGGGCTGGACAGGTGGGCGGCAACACCCCTGAGAAGGCAGTGTCCTCCAGTCACCTTGGCAACACGACCTACAAATCCAGTCGCCTGGTGCTGAGGGGAAGCTGAACTCGCCGTGAACTTTATTTTTAGGAGCTGCAGAATGACACCGGCAGGGCCCTGGGATCCCGGGCAGAGGAGAGAATTCCCCGCCTGGGCTGTGTGGGGCGGAGAAGGCCGCCTGGCTCGGAGGAGCCCCAGTGACTTGCAGGCCAGTGACACCCTCCGAGGCCCCCAAGTGCTTAGCAAGCGCTGCACAGAGAGCAGAGGAGGTGCCGGGGCTCCTGAATCAAGTGGAAGAAGCCAGCAGGGTCCCCTGCTTCTGAGGGCCGTGTGGGAAGGGGAGCGCTTCTGGGTGCACGACACCAGTCGCTGAGCAGAAGACAGGGTGCCCCCACCTGCCTCATGTGCTCCCCGCACGCTCAGTGCTCCCAGCCTGACACCCCGCTGCTTGTCACCTCCACTTCCCTGCCTCATTCTTCCAGCTCACCTTCCAGCCCCTGGCTCGTTGGCCACTATTTTGTGAGCGGGGACAACATGTGTCCCTCAGGGGCTGGGCAGGGCCCTCTGCCCTGTGTCACCACGACATGTGACGCTGGAGGAGTTAGCTGCTCTGTGACCTGAAGCGGAGCCCCTGACGGCCCAAACGGGTGACCCTGTGGTGGGAAGGCGGCTAGGAAGAGGCAGGAAGAGGCTGGT